GGGAAGGAAAGGCGAGGCATGTTGGTCCGAGGCAGAACACGTGATGATCTCACGTGACACAATCCTGACCATCGACGCAATCAACATCCATGCCAATATATCTTCAGGATTATATTAACTCGAGCCAAGCAAAACTGACATTGAAGTGTGCTATCAAATGGTGGATCAGACAGCAGGACAGATCAAGCAACCTTGGCAAACGCCACTGCCGATCCCACATTAAGCTTCTCAAAACCAGGTTTTGAACTTGAACGGCAGAGAGAGGAAGGGCAAAATCGCAGGTCCAAGTGGCCATCCGTGAGGGAGAGTCATATCGGCATCTACAATAACACAATAACACTGACCACCCACTCATAAATCAACCCCTCACAACAAGTCCTTGGAGATGCCGGCGCCTCCGATCCTCCACCCATCACCCACATCTCCGCGCCTCCGCCTCTCCATGGCACGAACCTCTTTGCCATCATAGCCACTGACGTATAGCGTTACTCTGATCGCACGTTCCGAAGTATCTGAGCATGCACATTTCAAACAATGCGATAGATCTGGGAGGTCGCTGATATGTGGGAACCGGATCGGTAGATAGCTGTGGCCAGTATTGAGATCATTCAAAAGTTAAATGTACTAGCACTCAGGAACTACTTTTCCTGGGTAGCCTATATGATCCCACACCGCAATATTAAAGATCCCTTTGAACCACGGGGGCTTCATCCAGAGCTCGGTGACTATGCCTTTTGCACCGAATCATGTACTGCCGCAAAGGATGTCCCAAACATTATTCCCAAAGGATCTGAATGACGTCTCTGGGATCGACCATCGACCGGCACGGGCGAGACGGGCGAGCTGCACGTTGGTATCAACGGACATGCACAGTGACATCGTTTCCACTAAACTGCGAGTAAGCGACAGAAACCCCTCAAAACCCCCGTCTGATTCGAGATAACGAGATCACAGCTGCATCTCTCCGAAAGGTGGCCCCAGGTTCTCCTGAATTGTGGACATCTTGACGCGCAACACGGGTGTCTAGTTACTAAAGACCTACGGTAAAGCGTTCTGCCCTTTCACAAGACGTATCTCGCGCTTTCGGTTATTGTGGAAAAAAGATATAGTGCACCGAACCACCAACAACGAGGGAAAAAAAAGAAAATACAATAATTTAGTTGCCTGGTAGCGACTCTCGCCATTTCGAGAAAACTTCGAATGCGCCGGGATGTGGTTCAAAGACATCATAGCGGAGTCCACCCAAAAAAACTCTTTACATATTGAATCCATTTTTTGAGACATGACGTGGGTCGGGAAAAAATATCAGATTTTTTTGATACAATTTATGTGTCATCTAATTCGTCAGGTTGGGCTGAAAGTCGACTAAGATTTATAACAAAAGGAAGAGAATTGTGGTTTTGATAACTCTTGGCATGCATTATGGGTATATTTTGATTGTTTTCGGCATGATGCATACTTGAGTACAGGGGAATAGGGGTGACAGGAGAACAGGAGAACACGTTTATATAGACTATCACCTATAACCTACCTGGGTAATCCCCGCGCTGGTTATTGCGTAAGGGAAAAAAGGAGGAGAATAGACGCGGAGAAAGGAAAAAGCAAGGAGAGCACTGTTCAGGTTGTTTATGCACATTCTATACAAGGCAGGACTGCATGCCGATCAACACGGTCGAGGCTATCCCTTTTAGCGTGCCGCTAGTGTCCACGCATTCGCTCTTTCGATGCACTCGGGACACCAACGGCTTCCCGAGTCCGTATGTGCTACCGCCGAGACTTGGCGGGCTCCGTCGCATGCGATCCCGAGTGTTGTCCGTGTAAGGTCGCAGTACCACCTACGTAGAGGTTGAGTGGTCCAGGAATTCGATCGGTTGATCGGAGCGGAATTTGACTATTGACTAATATTGGTGTTCGGCTAGCTTTCCTTTTTCCGCGTTTTAGCAGCAAGGTCGGCAATATGTTCGCCCTTGCCGCCTGCCCTATGTACTCATACTATGAGAGAAATAAAAAAAGCAAAAATGTTATTCGGTGTACTCCAATACTCTGTACCACTGGCCATTGTCCACTTAAGAAAACCAATCATAAAATCCATTATAGAGTCGACCCTCTAAAAATTTCGTACTCTCCAGTGATATTCGCCAACTGATGTCATCAGGGACGCAAACTACCGCCGCACCGCTGTGGGTCGGGAAGAAATGCTTAACACGCCATTTATTGATGCATCCGGTAGGCTTGTCTCCACCCTCGCCTATGATTCGGTCGACCATCTGCGCCTTGGGTGGAGTGGGTTTGGGTGACGCTGTCGGCTTCGTTATTCGCATATGTCCCTACTCACGGGGAAAGTGTACTATGGAGTAGGACATGCCCCACGATGCATCTCCTTGCCACTTTCGTCAATTGCGAGACATTCAAATATCTCTCTCCCCTCCCCCGGGTTTCTCCTTTTTTCTTCTCCGCGTGTCTCCTCTTATCTCCAGCCTTTGCCACTCCCACGTGAAGCGGTAGTCCTCGATTCTTACAGACTTGTATAGGATTTCGTTCATCTCTTCACATTTTTCATCATGGCGCCGAAATATGCTGGCATGTCCGGCAGGCCCCTATCGTTGACGGTGTCGACCATCGCTACAATGGGTTTCCTGCTGTTCGGTTATGATCGTATGTTGGTCTGTTCTATATCATGTACACAGATGCTAACTATTCACAGAGGGTGTCATGTCTGGTATCATTGACTCCTCTGCTTTCGCCAGATTCCTTCCCATCACCGCAGGCAACTCTGTCATGCAGGCTCTGGTTACTGCCGTGTATGAATTGGGTTGTCTGGTTGGTGCTATGTTCGCTCTGTTCACTGGTGACAGGATGGGTCGTCGTCTCATGATCATCGCCGGTGCCACTGTTATGATCATTGGCGTCATTATCCAGGTTGCTGCCGTTGACGGCCATGGTGCTACTGCTCAGTTCTTTGTCGGCCGTATCATCACTGGTATTGGTAACGGCATGAACACGTCGACTATCCCTACCTACCAGGCTGAGTGCTCTCGCAGCACCAACCGTGGTCTGCTCATCTGTATTGAGGGTGGTACCATCGCCATCGGTACTATGATTGCCTACTGGATTGACTTCGGTGCCTCTTACGGTCCCGACGACCTTGTTTGGCGTTTCCCCATTGCCTTCCAGGTTGTCTTCGGTATTATTATCATCGTTGGAATGTGGTACCTCCCCGACTCTCCTCGTTACCTCATCTCCAAGGGTAAGGTCCACGAGGGTGAGTACGTCCTGGCTGCTCTTGGTGGCTACGAGATCGACGCCCACGAGACCCAGATCCAGAAGCAGCTTGTCATCGAGTCTATTGAGGCTGCTGGAGTTGCCGACGGTGCTGGATACTCTGACCTTCTCACTGGTGGCAAGACCCAGCACCTCCGCCGTATGCTTATCGGTTCCTCTTCCCAGATCGCCCAGCAGCTGTCTGGTTGCAACGCTGTCATCTACTACCTGCCCGTTCTCCTGAGACAATCCCTGGGCGAGGAGGAGAGAATGTCCATGATCATCGGTGGTGTTAATATGATCGTTTACGCCATCTTCGCTACCTTCTCCTGGTTCTTCATTGAGAAGATTGGTCGCCGCAAGCTCTTCATCGGTGGTATGACTGGCCAGATGGTGGCCATGATCATCGTCTTCGGCTGTTTGATCCCCGGCGGCCCCGGACCCTCCAAGGGAGCCGTCTTCGGTCTGTTCCTGTACATTGCCTTCTTCGGTGCTTCCATCCTGCCCCTGCCCTGGTTGTACCCGGCCGAGATCTCGCCCCTGCGCACTCGTGCCAAGGCAAACGCCGTCTCGACCTGCTCTAACTGGCTGTTCAACTTTACTGTTGTCATGATCACTCCCGTCATGGTCGCCAACATCAAGTGGGGAACCTACCTGTTCTTCGCCGTCATGAACGCCATCTTCATTCCCCCCATGATTCTGTTCTACCCCGAGACCGCTGGTCGCAGTCTGGAGGAGATCGATATCATCTTCGCCAAGGGCTACTGCGAGAAAATGAGCTATGTCCGCGCTGCCAAGGAACTCCCCAAGCTCACCGACGAGGAGATCGAAGCCAAGGCCATCGAGTACGGCTTCGAGTCCAGCCGACGCACTGGCGATGTCGAGAAGAGCGGCGAGAAGCCGTCTCCCCGCAGCGACTCCAGCGATGGTGTTGCCAACGGTCACCAGGAGACCTACACCGAGCCCCGCTCTTAAGCGGTTGCTTCCTAGGCGTGACAGCGCTGTGCGCTGCCATTTCTTAACGTTATGGTTGTGCTGTTCTCCTTCCATCTTAACCCATGGTTTGGGTAACACCAGATTCACATCCTTTTCTTTTTCTTTATTATCATCTTATTTCCTTTTGATCTTATATACCCATTGTTTCTGGCCTGGAGGATGAACACCCTGGCCCTGGTTGCCGGTGGCTAATCCTGTCTGCATTCCTTGGATCTGAAGTGCAGAGCTCTTGTGTTGATGATTTCATGTCTTTGTTATGACCTAAAAGGGTTCGGTCGGCATGGGAATTATCGGGATTCATGTATATGCGCTTTGTATGACTACAGTACCAATTTATGGATCCACTACACTGCTTCAAACTGTAGATCTTAAAATAGTAAGCTTTATTAATGTCTCATTTTATAACTATTTATCATATTATAGTAGTCCCTGCATGTGTCAAAACGGCCTTGAGTTTAAAAAGTGACTCATGCAAGGCAGTGCTTCCTCGCATGAGGCTCAGATCTCATCTCCAGCAAGGAGGAACCACTCACAGCGCAGAACCGCAAACTATACATGTAGCTTACAGTCCAACTATTCTGGATAACTTCCAAGACATAAAACTCCCAGCTGACCGATCGGCTGATCCCGCCCGACCAAGTTTCCCTCCTTATCTTCTCCCTTTCATTCACCTCACCACCTCACTCTCGCTCGTGCAATACCATGCCCATTCAACCAACCAGTCCCCACATTCTGAATCCGCCATGAGTTCGAGTCTCGAGGCCAAGATCGTCGTCCTCGGCGCGCAAGGTACGTCCCTGACCTTTCCCGCAAAGGGATGTGGATGTGGGCGTGGATCTTGTCTACCAGACAAGCTACATGTATATGCGATGCACTATATTCCCATATACCATCCTACACTGCTATCTACCATGGCATATAATCTAACACTACACAAATCCAGGGGTAGGCAAAACCTCCCTCGTGGAGCGCTATGTCCGAAACGCCTTTAACCCCGCAACAGCCTCAACAGTCGGCGCGTCGTTTGTCACAAAGCGCGTCCTGGACCATACCTCGGACACCATCGTCCGACTCCAGATCTGGGATACAGCGGGGCAAGAGCGATTCCGCAGTATCTCACGTCTCTATTATCGCGGTGCGCACGCGTGCCTGCTTTGCTATGATGTCAGTGATGTTTCCCCACTTTTGACATGATCTCCGTTGTTCTTTATGCAACCCATCATGTAACTATACAAAAACAAGACAACCAAATCTAACACCCTCATAGATCACAGATGAATCCAGTTTCCAAGAAATGGCCGGCTGGCTGCGCGAACTCCGCAAGAATATCGGCACAGGTGAAGACAATCTAGACCCGCTAGTCATCCATGTGGTTGGAACGAAATCCGATATCGTTACCATGGATCCCAGTCGCAGACGCATCCCGTTCGAACGCACAATCGCGTACGTAGCCGAACAACTCTATCCCACACAAGCATCTACACCGCCGGCTACAGCAACAAGTGGCGGGATGAGTATGGGACTGGGATTCAGCACGAGTGTGTTTGGCGGTAATGGGGGGAGCAACAATACAAATACCAACGCAAACACAAACACGAATATCAATACGAATATGAATGGCAGCGGGGGCCTCTCATCGACAGCCCTACAAAGCCCAGATTCAAAACGCAGTTCTGCGTTCTGGGGACAAGAAATTGGCTGGGATTGCTGTCATGAGATTAGTGCCAAAGATGGGGAGGGCATTGATGAGGTTTTTCGGGTTATTACTCGGAAGTTGGTTGAGCAAAGGAATAAACGTGATACGGAGCTTGCACTTTCGATTGCGGGGACGCCTATGACTGCTGGTGGTGTCTCTGTTGGCCCGTTTAGTCCTGGCTTTGTGGAGGGCACGGGGAGTTTTCGGTTGGGAGTTGGGGATAAGAAAAGGAGTTGGTTGGGTCTAGCTTCGCCTTCTGCTGGGATTGGAAATGGGAGTGGCAATGGGAATGAGAATGGGGAGGAGGTGCAGATTATGCAGAATGCGAAGGGGAAGGGGAGATGCTGTTGATATTTGATTTGATTGTTGATACTGGTGTGGGTTGGCATGTACTTGTCTATTTTCGCATCGGTGCTGGATTGGCGTCTGAAGGTTTGTGTGGTTAGCGGCGGGACGTTTGTGTCTGGATGCTTTGTGTGCTTTTCTGTTTGTCTGTCCTCTGCTACTCACGGTAATATTTCGGACATCTTGAATGATATATGACTGCCACGTTATCAGTTCGGGATTATCAATATAGTACTATCGCATACAAGAAGCACCTAGTACACTTTGACCTGTTGGCTGCTAAGTTAATGATATTCTGATGTTTTCAATTCCTGGCTTATCGAACTAGCCAAGGCTTTGATATTTAATCTTGTTTGATTTGGCAAAGATGAGATATAAGCGTTTCGCTGGCAGTGTATGACAAGGCAATGTAATCCACCACGCCCTATAAGGCTATGTAGACATTCTTTGACAGTGGCTCACTAAATAATGTTCTGGAGCGCTTATCCCTTGTAGAATGAGTGCTGTGCAATGGCAAATTGATTAACCGAACATATGGATAAAGGCTATTTAGTCGAGGACACCTATCTATAAATGCATTGTTTACCTACGTAATGGGATGATCTATAGATCTGTGGAACCAGTGGAGTCGATCTGGGGTATACTGCAGATCCCAATTTGTTATGGTTATACAGGTACAAGTATATCCGAGCTTTGAATTATGCTCTTGGGCTCTTCATCTCCGACCTCGGTGCCTTGGTAACACCAATCACCTCCCCTGCACCCGTGAGAACCCTGTGATAGGTCTCAATCCCTATCGCTCAGCCTCACCCCCTCTTCTCGCTTGCCGGGACATTTACTTCCCAATCAGTTAGCGAAAAGTTTACCTAGTAAGTAGGCACTGAAGCGAGGAAAGGACCGTGCTTTTGCTAGCAGATTACTCCGACTCCCGATACTCCGTACATGCCCAGATATAGGTAGGCACTGTCCTAATTTCAATCCAGCCTGCTGACGCACTGAGTCAAAGCTAGGCGATACGGTTCTTGCTTCTTCTCTTTCCTGAGTAATCTGCGTCCCTGTGCTAGGCTTCTTTCTTCCTTTTTATCCTACATTTCTTGACTTTTCCAAGCTTTCTCTCCAACATTGGCCATCATATACCACTCCATTGGTTGCCATTTTCCCGATCGGAACGGTCAGCGAGACTCCTGTCGTAACTCAACCCCATCCACCCCTCCCCCGTCCCGGTTACAATGTCGGGGGTGGAGGTGATCGCAGTCGTAGCCTGCGTAGCAGCCGGTATATCCCCCATCTCCTTTATCATCTTCACCCAAGCTAAGAATCAAAGTCGTATCGGCCTACAACGATGGCAGCCGCATGTTCACAGCAATCCGCAAAAAATGGCACGAGCGCCGCCGCCAACCCGACCAGTCAACCCGGGATCTGGAATGGTCACTTGCACGAGGCCACCACGAGATCCTATCTCAGTATAATAGACACCACCAAGAACTAGGTCGACTATACGCAGAAGGCGACTCGATCGCTCGCGAACAGATGAAGGATATCATCATCACACTTCAAGGTGCATTGCTGAGACATCTCCGCGAAGCACAGGAGCAAGGCTCCAGCTTAGATCTGATGGCGCTACAGATGGAGTCTGAGCAAGGCCGTGTTCGGACCCTCGTTATTCTGGGTGATCTTTACCAGCGACTGGCACGGGCGTCGCCTATTCCGCCTACCATCTCGATGACTGTTGATCCTACGTATGTGAGAAGTCAGTACATGTATGGGGCCTACCTTCCTAATAACCCGGATCGATTCTCGCCATCCCCTACCCGGGAGCCGATGTATCTGTCTGGTGGGTATCCAGTTTCGTCCGGGGCGTTCCTGCTCGAGGGGTTGTCTGCGTCGCCTACAGATACGCTGGGTGCATCCGGCATTTTCGAGACGAGTCCATCATCTCGGAGACGATCATCGGGGTTCGGATCGGCTGTTAGTAGCATGGGAAGTATGTTTTCTCGATCTCCGCGCGGGAGCAGGTCTTCTTTCCCATCCTCTGCACCTGAGCCTGGGTTCCTTGCCCAACCAGGCTTCTGCCACACCGTCTCGCCATCAACACCAGAGCCAGTAGCAGAATTGCCAGTACCGGAAATACCAGTGCGGTCACCACAAAGACCCAACCTCCGTCTGAGCCCAGTCGAAGATGACAACCTCTGGGGAGAACAATGGAGACGCGAAATAGCAGATTCAGACGACGACGAAATCAGCCATACATACCATCCCCAACTCAAAGACGAACCACCAAACCATCACCTATCCCCAGTAACCGCGAACATAGTATCAATGCACCCACGCCGCCAATCCCTCCCACCCCCATCAATAGCCTCAACAGACTCAACCCCCTCAAACCCCTCGACAACCTCAACCTCCTCTCACACAACCCTGTCCCCAGCCCCCTCCTCCCAACCCACCGGCCCAAAATGGTCCCCAAGCAAAACAAACAACTACCTCGGCTTCTGCAAAGGCGCCTGGAAAGTGCACACAGGCTTCCGCGGCTTCAAAATCCACACAGAACCTGGAAGTGGCTACTACACGCAGGTGTCCTGGCTGCGCTGCGTGAAATGCGCCTTTGAAGGTCCCATGGCTGCCAAGTGCAGTAGCAATAACCCGCAATTCGACGATTCCGTGCGCGTCCATTCACTCACGGGCATTCGATATCGCTGGGAGTTCCTGGCTAAATCGCATGTTCCTTGTAAGCGGGCTTCGGCATTGTCCTTTTCGCCGGTTGCACCGCGGGGTGCGTTTTGTTGTATGTTTTGTTGTGTGGAGGTTCGCGGCTCCACTGGTGTTTATGGGAATTTGGATACCTTTATGGCGCATTTGGGGGAGGTGCATCGGTTTGTTGGGGCGGGTGCATTGGCGCTTTTGCCTACTAGTACTAAGTGTGTTTTTGGGAGGGTTGCGGGGGATGGGGAGTATTTTGATGTTAATATTTGTTGATAGAGGGCGATTGGTGGATTGAGGGAGGGGGTTTAGTGCGAGTTACCATTTCCTTTTTTTTTTTCAATCGGGTCGAGCTTGGCTTGGCTTGGTTTGTGCTTTTCCGTGCTCTTTTGTCCACTGGATTGGCGTTTATACCCTTGGTGTTGGGGTGTTCTGTGTATACATATACTTTGTGAACTTATAGAGCGGATCAAAATCCCGGGTTTGTCCGTCTGGCCCGAGTACTCGAATCGGTTATCCCTGGTTTGATTATGATACTAGTTTCTTGTGGCCAATGCCGACACTGATGTCTATGTGGAGATTATCTATGTGTTAGGATCTCGTCTATCACTTGGTGTATCAAGCCAGGGTCGTAGTGACATCAGTGTCAACCAATCCACGCGAACATATAATCGCCGTGGCATCCCCTGCATACAAGCATGACGAAGCAAAGAAAAACATGGAGGCCCTTGCAGTGGAGAAATATCCCAGATGGAGGCCCAGATAGGGGGTCGGCGATGCCGATCCCTGATTTAGTCCAGACGGGACCCGTGGATCCGTTTGAGATTAAGGGTCTGCTTACTGGGAAGAATGACCGACGGGGAAGGTGTGAGACTGACTATTCTGTAGGTAACTATATGTAGTTAGATATAACGTTACCCCTGAGGGGAGAACCCTGCAGCAGACAAGCCTTAACCAAGTCCCTTCCCATATTAATTACAGTGTAAAGGTACCTGGCCTACCAAAATCAGTCCACCAATCAGGGATCAGCACAGATAACCCGTGACGCTAACCCCAAATGGAGAAAGTGTGACCCTCGATGCTGTCCCTTTTTTTATGATCTTCTTCTGTTCAATGCCCTCAGGACACTACCTGGGCACTTTCGTCTGACATCTGTCGCATTCCTCCGTTGATCGACATCCCTTCGTCCCTGGTCTCGCGACGTGTGATCCCGGAAAATACCCCGGCCTCCACATGGGGCGGTGCTGATTACTTTAAGATTGCGCTGTTTTAAACTCTGGCCTGGTGGCTTCTTCATTTCTCGGACTTTTTCCTTCCTCACCTCTCACCCTCTATACACCCCCTCCCTCCGTCCCGAGGACCGCGTTATGCCATGAGGCTGTCACTACGCATCGGTGCGGCTCTCGCCCTCATCATTATTACCCTTGTGCTCGTCAACCGCAGTTTAAAGCCCGAAGCTCAATCCCTCAAAGATCTATGGCGATTCGATACCGCCGCATTCCGGACAGCCCTAAAGCCCAAACAGCCCGAAGAAGACCCAGCTGCTCGCCGGAAATGGCGGGTCGCATCGGATAACAAGCCTGCTTTGGTCTACCAGACCACCCAGATCGAGGTGCCGAATCAGGGTGCCTTGGTCATGGCCAAATTGAAGGCCGAGGACACATCATGGGCCTCGGGTGAATTGTCAGAGTAAGTACAACGCATTGTGTATTTTCCCGGAACGAATTGCAATTGACCGACTCGGTTTCTGCAGATGGCGCAGCGTTATCTATACCGTCGACGATACAAATGCCCCGATACATACCCCCAAGAACAAGGGCAAGGAGTCCCTCGCCTACCTCCAATACCTAGTTGACCACTATGACGACCTTCCTGAGACAGTTGTCTTCCTCCACGCCCACCGCGACGGTCTCCCCGCCGGATGGCACATTGATACCATGGAGTATAGCAATGTGGATTCGGTTCGCGCGTTGCAGAGAGAGTTTGTTCAGCAACAAGGATTCGTCAACTTGCGGTGCCAATTGTCACCTGGATGCCCCGATGCTATCCAGCCCTTCCGCCAACCCCCGAAGCTCGAGAACCCCGGTGAACAATATTACGCGACAGCCTGGAAGTCGTTGTTCCCCAATGAGAAGATTCCTGAACAGATCGCCGCGCCATGCTGTTCCCAGTTCGCTGTTTCCCGAGGTCAGATCCTCCAACGCCCTCGTTCCGACTACCAGCGCATGTACGACTGGGTCATGAACAACGATCTGCCAGATGACGCGACCGCCAACATTATGGAATACACCTGGCACATTATTTTCGGCAGAGATCCAGTCTTGTAAGTACTCCCCGAGGCACGGGCTTATCCATGTACTAACATAATACCAGCTGCCCCGACCTCTTCCAATGCTACGGTGACGTCTACGGCGAGGAAATCGTCTGGTAGATTTAACCCTTCAATCCACATCTACTTCCTAAGAGCAAATTGCTCGCTCTCCTGTATCAACGACAACCCTGCTTCTCCTTTGCCAGCACTTGCTGGATTCCCTAATCAGAGGGACAACCAATGGCAACTGGGAACGCGAACAGTGCCAATGCCACATGATGAATCGTTTCGATGTTTATTTTCCGTCGGGGGAATGTACATTTTTTGAAAGAAGTTATGCCGACATTGGCTTCGGCTATTCAGACATCAGCGACTTGCTTTATCTCGCTTGGTTTACATGTCTTCAAGTTAGCGTTAGTGTGAGACATGCCTTTCGTGCCGCGGCACTTGTGTACATTTTACTTTTTTTTTTTTTTTTTTTTGGAAAACAACTATCATTTCAACTTGAACTTCCTGCCTGGGCTAGTATACTGTATCGTTTATATGTTATGCATCGCCCCTCCCCTGCGCAACCATCCGCCTCGCACCCTCATCCCACCGATACATCCCCCCATCCCCAACATTATAATGGTAATAATTATCCGTCCCGCCTGGCACAACAGCGCGCCGAAATGTAATGTTAATCCGACCCTTCGTCGCTTCCCCGGCTTTCCCTTTCCGCTTGGGTATACTATGTAACCAATGCGCTTGCGTAGGCCCCCGCATAACAACCATATCGCCCGAACCAAGATTCATCTTGATCTGCTGTTGTGTCTGTAACTGCGTTGATGAAACACTGCCATCATTAAAACGGGGATTGGATCCTCGGGTTGTGCAAGTATCCATCTGCATCCCAGCCCCAGATCCCATTCCAAATGCATGTACAGGTCTCGTATTCCCATTCCCAACAGGCGCATAAGGCTTATGCTTCATCAAAAAATCCCTCTCACCACCCAACGACAAAGAAGCAATATTAGGCTCGACACCGAGAAACCGCTCGTCGTCCGAGTGGAAGGCTATACTGTCCTCGCCGCTGGCGTAGTAATTCACAAGGCAGAAATTATAGCTTTGTTTCACGTTTGTTGCTTTCTCCACTTGTCGCCGGAGGATATCCAGACAGGGTGGGATAGGCCGCGGCGTTAGTTTGTATTTGTGTTTTGGCGGTTGGAGGTTTGTTTTGGAGTCCAGGGGGACCAGGTTGAGGTCGTGACTGTTGTTGTTGTTGCCATTCAAGTCTGAATTTGTATCAGAGTTGGAGTTGGAGTTGGAGTGCTTGTTCTTATCCTCGACAAATAATGCCGTCTCATCAACGCCGAAAACAGTCGTGAAGCGAGGTGTGTTTATCTGCGTCTCTGTATCCCCTCTTCGTGCTTTGTATTGAACGCGGTAGAAGGGGAGTTCGCGACGGAGGAATTTGAAGAGTTCATTTGCTGTTTCTTTTGGTATGTACGGTTGGAAATGGAGGAGGTCAAGGTGTGGTTGGTTTTTTTGTTCGTGGGGTGCTCGGGCTGGTGTTGCGTGTTCTAGGCCGACTTGGATGTGTGTGGGTAGATTTGCTATTGGGATTGGGTAGCTCGGGTGTGTGCTTGGGGGAATTGGTTCTTCTGATGGTGTGGTTTGGGGTGGTGGTGAGGTTTTGAGGGTTGGTTGGGCTTCCTCGTTTTTGGAACGTTTTGGTGTTGGATTTGAGGGTGTGTTGGTGGATGGTTTGAAGAATGCATCTAGAGTCCGTTTTGCCATTGTTGCTTGGGATTGGGAGGTGGTCGTAAAATTATGAACTGAGATGCGACGCGATCTGGAAAAGAGCAGGTGATGTCATTCTCCGCAGTGGCTTCGATCTATACAATTTCCCGATTTGGCTTGGCGTGAAGAACTTGGACTTTGTTCAGGTGCTTATATCGCTAGCATTAGTTATGAAGACATGCTAATCTACAGCAACACACCCTCCGTCTCTGCAATCCTCACCACATATTTCACCGCAGATGCCTTACCAGCCTCCAAATCCTTCAATGCCCCTTCAAGACCACCCAGTCCACCCTTCCGCACTTCATACGGATGCCCGGAGAACCAACCCTGCGCCAAACCGCGTCCAATAAACTGGAAAAATGCAGCCCCGAACTCCTTATCACCAAGGGCCTTTCCCTCAGCAGGAGGCATATGAACAGACCCGACCATTGTACGACGGATCGCAATGCCATCAGCAGCCTCGTCACTTTCAGTAGGCAAAACGGTCGTAATAGCTCCAGGCTTCGTCAACGCAGCACCTAAGTTGACATGGCTTCCCTTCTCAGACACAGCATCATAGGCATAGTGCACGGGCGCGCCATTGGCAGCAGCCCTGATCTTCGAGCGGACGGCGTCGTCGCCTTCACGGTAGTCGACGACGGTGTCTCCTTTCGATGGTTCGAGGAGATCCTCGACGAATGGTACGCCCTTGCCTGCTACAGCGATGATTGGGTGAATGTTGGATAACTTGGCGAATTTAATCGCGAATGCGCCTACTGCAGTGGCGCCGCCGTATACAACTAGCGGGGTGGGTTTCTCAGCTGGGCTCCAGGGTAGGGGGAGCTTCAGCTTTTGGTACAAGCCCAACGCTGCGGTCATTGCTGCAAGAGGAATGGTAGCAGCCTCTGTTCGAAGTGGTTAGTTGAAGCTCTAAGCGAACTCCATCTGGATCACGATCTCGTCAAACCTTCAAAGCTGGTCTTCTCGGTGAGATGGAAAGTAGTATGTTCCCACGCAATGGCGTATTCGGCATAACTTCCATGAGGACTCATCATCTCGTGGAACGCCGCTACTTTATCGCCCTTTCGGAACTTCTGGACTCCTTCGCCGACTGCCTCCACGTAGCCTGCGATATCATCACCTTGGTTTATGGCGTTGTCGGGCTGCCATTTAGGGGAGTTTCCAGTCCTTTGGGTTTGTGCCGGATACCACAACTTTGATCAGGACTTGGCCCGGCTGGGGAAAGGGGATTTCGACGTCGCGGATTGTGACCGCGACGGTCTTGTCGATGATGGCTTCTTTCATTGTGGGATTGTATGTAATTGTATTAGAGGTTGATTGTGGAATATTGTACAGAGTACGACTAGATTCCTGCTCTTATACCTCCCAAGGTTGTCACTGTTGATTTGTAATCGCAAATTATTAATGGAGTTATGCCGGGGCTTCCGTGCATAAATGAAGTCATTCGCAGTGGGTCTTCGCGGGGTTGAACTGTGCCGGGTTGATCTTGGAAGTGGCACAATTGTACTTGAACTCCCATTCATAAACTAGCCTGGCACATAAAGAGATAGGTAGATAGTATATCCGTCACCATGCCATAACCCCAGACCTAGCCACAAGCTTCCCAGTCGACGAATCCCTCTCACCCTCAACAACCATCTTCAAGAATTCCCCACCAATACTGGGATGCTTCGCCCCCATAGCTTTGGCTTTCTCCGGAATCCCTCCAAGATTAGTAGCAAGCATCCCCGGCCCAACAGCCCAGACCTTAACACCATCAGCCTCGAGCTTATGATTCCAATCCAGCATCAGCATGTTTAGAGCAGTCTTGCTGCAGCGATATCCGATAGTCTCGAAGTCGATTTTCTTCGGCCACCCTGCTGGCTGAGGAGGTGTTGGGAAGTAGGATTCACTGGCTTGGTTTATGGCAGATAGACCAGCGACGAAGATCAGACGGGGGTCTGCAGACTTGAGCAGGAGGGGCATGAATGTCGCTGTCATCACATTCGTGCCTGCCACGTTGACGTCGTATGCTTTGTTAAAGCATTCACGAAGAGAGACTTTACCATCTGTGTACTCAATATCGAAGGCAGCTCCTGGCCGTTGTCAGTGTATTACTTCGCTTGGTATGCGTTGAGATAAAGAGGCCCGGTACTTACCAGCATTGTTGATTAGGACATCAATGTGACCGTGAATTGCCTCAACTTGCTTGAACGCAGTCTCAATAGACTCATCGCATATAAGGTCAATCTGGACAGGTTCAACAGTGTTAGCTGCACCGGGGCATTCACTGTGCAGAGTCTCGATCGCTGCATTGGCTTTATCCAGGGATCGACTACCCATCAGGATATGATATGGTTTGTCAGACCCAAGCAGCGCTTTGACTGTCTCATAGCCGATTCCACCATTACCGCCGGTCACAGTTACGATCTTTCGTAACGCCATTTTGATCTGTCGTTTAGTGCTAGAGCTGTGTTGCTACATTCCTCTTTTATAGTCAAAATAATATTCAGTAGAAGAATTCAAAAGTTATTTCCAAACTCCGATACAGCCGGTGATCCTCAAAAAGGGTTGTATAGTAGCCATCTGTTGTCACGGAGATAAGCGTGGCTACGCGGAGATAGATGGTTGCGCCCCAAGCTCTCGGGTTTTGGACCTTTGGACTTCTTGAATGCCATTAACTATACGGAATGACAATTTCATATTTATCTTATGCAGCTATTTTGACCGATAAATGTCTGTACGAATGTGATGAAACCCTTTCATCTCTTTGGCCGTCCCGATGTCAATAGACTTATGCCACATTTAGACTTTACTAGAAGTCTGATCACTTAAGCCATAATATTGGCATTGATCATCATGTGAGATAGCGTCCCGAATTTCACTAAGAATCCACACCTTATGAAAGAACATGCCCATATTTTGCGCGCGTAGCAAGTGAGCCATCGCATAAAGGTTTGAGATGACATATCACTGTTTTTAGGTAGTTACTAGGTGGAAAGTGCCGTGTAGTCAAGTCCCAGGAGTTTCTAGTTGACCCTCGCCCGTGAAGAACCCACTTCGCGGCTGAATCCAGTCGCAATATATCTGGCAGCGCAGTAAAAACCGTAACCTTCGTTTTCAATGTAGTTGTCACAGTCTACGTAACAAAAGTTGTGATTTGCTTTCGCCATGTGCCAGAACACTTGTTTGCCATGTTTTTCTTGGTTTTAGTTCCTGCCCCTCCAGACAATCCATCATCTGCTTCTCTCTCTATCCGGGTCTTCTTTCATATCAGTTCTCAACTCCCACGTCACCCAGCTCAGTAATTGGGTTGACCACGCGAAAAGATGTCCTTTTCACCACCGACATTCCCGTTCTGTCAGAAGGAATTCCCCAGCAAAAACACGCTTGGCAAACACCTCAACGAGTACATTGGCGAATGGCGTTTGCCAGCTGACGGAATCCATGACACCTTGCAAACCAAACTTGCTATTCGCCGTCTTCGATATTCGACCGGGGACTCGTTTGGGAATCACTACTACAAATGCTTGACGTGTTCGAAGGTGGTTTGGCTTCGCTGGCGGTTCATTCAGCATGTCGTGAACTCGGGGCACTGTGGATTGGAACAAAAAAGTTTAAGTGGAAGGAGACGATGCTATCCGAATTTCGGTACATGGAAGCTTCCCTTTACCGTAAAAAGTGTCCTTGTTCCCGAAGACCCATTTCGGTTCCTTAGTCTTCCCGTCGGTGAGTTGTCATTGCTTCTTTCTTCGCTGTATCCCCTGATTTGCTTCCTGTCCCTTCTCTATGGGGTAAATGAGCGATCCTCGGAAATGGACCCCAAAGAGATGGGCAAATCGCACAGATGTTTGTGACCTTATTCAATTTGATCGTCTGTTCAGACCGGTTATTGAAGACAACACCACTACGCCAAGTCGACGGCGATTCGAGCTGAGAGTCTTCCTAAAAAGAATACCAAAGTCGGAAAATCGGCCGCTCGAGCTGGTTTTGAGCTCTACGTACGGTTAAAGAGGAAAGGGTTATAAGTGCCCAGCTTCAGCGAACTCAACACCTAGTTTCATACCAAACGGTCATTACTTTGCTGGAACTGACTTCCTTGATTGTTGATTGCTTTTTTGTTTATGGATCAGACAGACTCAATCGTTAACTCCTTTCCTATATCCCTAGTACAAGGTAGTGGTTTCGCCCCCTGGAACCCATTGTTCTTTCCAACATATGCTTTCTTCAACCCTCCAGTAAAGTCTTCAAGACATCAGTAGGTGTACGCTTTGGAGCAGCAATCTGCAGGATCTCCTTGCTGGTTGTAGTAGTCGAGCATTTCCCTTCCCAAGCTGTCTCGGGGGCCCGCTTGATTGAGTAGATGACGTTCTTAGATTGCTTCGTTGCCGCATATTGGTACTCATACAGCATGTCGATGAACGAGACGTCTTTGTAGCTAACATCCTTGATGGGCGTACCGATGTGCTGCTCAATCATGTCGACAACCTGCTTTCCAGTAATGTCCACGGGTCCATTGAGAACGTATTTGGCCTTGTTGTGGACGGAAGTGTCATCCTGAGACAAGAGATGAGCTGCAAGGATACCAACCTCGTCAGGGTCGATACTGCCGACGGGTGCATCCTCTGACAGCATCAGCCGAAGGGTATCCTGCTCTCCAGTCTTGCGGTATTTCTTGATGAACTCCACAGCAGGGGCCATGATGAATGGCGTGAAGACGTTCGGCTGAAGAGACGTCCACTGCAAGTTGTTGAACTGGGGTGAGCCAAGGAGAGCCTCGATGGCCCAGTGTTGGCGTGCATAGTAGGCAGGGCAATCTGGGCGGACATTCGCAGCGGTAGTCGAAATTCGCACGACATACTTGACGCCGGCGCTGAGGGCGTTGACGTGGAAGGTCGACTCTTCGGCAAATTGGTTAGGTTCATTGTGGGGTGCAATGAATGCTCTAGCAACTTGGTGTTCGCGGAGCCAGTCGGCGGTGATTTCAACCCAGTTCTGTTCGATCACTTCAACTCCGGGTAGCTTGGCAAGCTCTTGGGCTACTGGACTGTGCGAGGAGCGGGTGAGAGCAATGATGCGATGTCCGGACAAAGTGCTGCTTGATTGAAGCAACTTTGGCAATGTCTGAGCGACAGCTCGGCCGGTGTTGCCAGTGGCGCCGACGATGAGGATGGAAGGAGTCATGATTTCGAAGTATGAAATATATAGTTCACACTAAGCTATGGACCAAATCTCGGGGGCTTTGCTAGATACTTATACCTTAGAGTTAGGGATGGTTATTAATGAATAATAATCCAAAAAGTAGGAATTAATAAGGGTATATTGGAGTTCGAGAGTCGATTCGCAGAATTCGACCGGCCTCCCGCTGGCCGCCCGCCGGCATCCCACTGAGCAAACTACAATCTACACTTGACTGTACCTTTCCAATACTCTTTGCTCACTTTTACTGCGAGAAAAAGTCCCTGCGTTAGTATTTGTTTTTCAAATACCGTCCGCGCAATTTTCTCTCATGTAAATCGTCTCAAAGTGTGTCCCAGACCTCCGTCATACCTCAGCAGTGGGAGGCCGGCCGGTGGGAGGCCACTTTGCAACCCGAACACCCACGCAGAGCTCTGCGAGGCCCACTCTTCATTCCATTTACAGGCAATTTCTACAAAAGGGGTTGCCAGGGCCAGTTTCACTAATGGAAGGGTTCGGCAGCAAAATCGAGTTCCCTCGGGGTTCTTCGGACCCTTCCGGATACGCATCTGACGCGTTTAGGTGTCAATTTCCTGGCTGCAATGCTAGGTACCGGCGTAAGGAGCATCTCAACCGCCATGAAGGATCAAAACATGCCCAGCAGCAGGTCTTTGTCTGTTCCACCTGTGGTCGGGAATTTGGGCGAAGGTATCCACGTACTTACACTCCTCCTCGTACAAGACCAAGTCTGACTATAAAACGTCGATTTTAGTGACACGCTTCGACGCCACGTTCAAAAACAGCACAAGATAACAGAGCCTCTGAGCCGTGCGCGCCGAGCTTGTGCCAGTTGCCATGCAGGCAAGACTCGGTGCGAAGGCGGCGTACCGTGTGAGGAGTGTGTTCGTCGCAACATTCAATGTTCTCTTCAAGATCATGCTGGTATTGCTGAAGGACAACATACCGGTTCATCAACCCCACCTTTCTCATCTCCAAACCATGAACAGACACAGTTATATTATTGGGAGAAGAGGAAGCAGTGCGTTGATCGTTATTTTGAGGTATTCCATCCGCGTTGGCCTTTCATCCATCAGGGATCATTCGATGTACGCCAAGAAACTCCACTACTTCTGCAATCAATGGTGGCCATAGGCATGTGGGTGTCAGGAGACCAGTCCGCGCAGTCTGCGGCGATGGAGCTTCACGACAAACTTGACTTTGCTATTCGGGATCAAAGGGTATGCCGCTCGTCCACAACATACGCTGCACATGATTTGCTGACGTGTAAACCATAGGAGAAATGGGATGCCTCAGAAGTAGAGGGGGCCTGCAGCGCCTGCTTCTGGCCAACAGCGACATACCAGGCTATCCTACTACATATTATTTTCTCTGTTGTCATGAAAAGCGAAGGTGTTGTCAACCTCGACCTCAAAGCGTCTATCTCCGCTGCGGATTTAGCATTACTCAACTCACTTGTTGGAAGCTGTCGAAGATTGGGGATGTTCCTTTACCCGAACATGCTCGCTAGGTATAAAGAAGCTGACCTGCCCTCATTTGTCTGGGTTGGTATTGAGGAAGTCAAGCGATTCAATATAGCACTGTATAAGTTATGTGCGAAATTGAGCAGCTCTAGTCGGGAGGACAGGCCATTGCTACCTGCGAGTGAACTTCAATTCCCTCTCCCAAGCAATAATCCCTTGTGGAATTCAGTTGGAAGAGATGAATGGGAAGCTAATGCGAAGGAAGAGAATATGGTCTCCTTGAACGATGACCTTCAGGGGAAGTGGATTTCAAAGTTTGCAGATGTATTAGAATTCCTTGGGTTATAACTATCAATCTTTCATCACCAATGAACCGAGCGCTGGTGGGATACCGGTGGGATGCCAGATGGGAGGCCGATGAGTGGGAGGCCGGCAGGCATACAATGCTGTTATTAATCCTAGATATCCAGGATTTCTTAAATCTATAAATTCGACCATAATCTCAACAATCATTGAAGACATTCTCCAATCATCCTTACTGTGAACATTTGTACGATGGCACTCCCCAGGACCTACAAAGCCTTCCGGCACAGCAAGGGCAACACGCCCACAACACTTGATTTGGTCACGGAGGAGCTTCCGTCCTCTCTGAAGTCCAATGAAGTACTGATTCGCATCCACGCCGTGTCCCTGAATTACAGAGACGTGGCAATGATGCACGGGAAGTACCCGGTTAAGATTATCGAGCGATGTATCCCTGCATCCGATTGCGCCGCTGAGGTCGTCGGAATTGGATCTGAGGTTCATGATTTCCAAATCGGAGATCGTGTTGCGCCTATATTTGACTTGAACAATATCGACGGCACAGAAGAAGAGATATCGGTGTTGGGTGGGGATGTCCACGGAGTATTGCGCGAATATGCGGTGTTTGACCGAAATGTCTTATTCCATTTGCCCAAGCACCTTTCTTGGGAAGAGGTTAGCATGTTTTAAAATATAGTGATGCTAAAAACTAAGTTCTTGGCAGGCTGCTTGTATCACTTGCGCAGGAGTAACGGCGTGGAACGCGCTGGACATGCCTCGATCCAAAGGCACTGCTCTTCTCCAAGGTGGGATCGAATCCATATTAAATCACCATGAAACATAATAACAATCTCCATATATGTTCAGGCACTGGTGGAGTGAGCATGTTCAGTCTACTGATATGCTTGGGCGCTGGCATCCGTCCCATCATCACCTCGTCTTCTGACGAAAAGCTCGATCTGGCAAAGGCCATCGGGGGCTCAGATGCTGTTGATACTATCAACTACCGAGACCATCCTCAATGGGAGGAGGACGCACTTCGTTTTACCAACGGACGAGGTGTTGATGTTGTTGTCGACAACGTTGGGCCTTCCTCGATTGCCCAAAGCCTCTCCTCTCTTGCTAGAAGAGGGATTGTTTCCTTGGTCGGGTTTTTGGGGGGATTTGATGTAGATCGCTTCCCCGATACAGTCCTCCCGACTTTGCTAAAGAGTGCCACCATTAGGTAAGTTGCCCCTTGTCACCTATGATCATAGAAGTACTAACCGCATTGTTCCTCTAGAGGGATCAATGTTGGCTCCAAAATTGACCATCAAACATTGTGCAACTTCCTGTCAGAGAAGGATATTGGTCTGAGACCCATCATGGATAGTGTGACATTTTCTTTTGAAGATTCGCAGGCGGCGTTTGATCACCTTTGGGATGCGAAACATACGGGCAAAGTGGTGATCAAACTGTGAAGGATTTTGGCCTTATCTTCGAGAGATTATAGGAATTGGACCCTTTTTAGACTTTGGACCTGGCCACTTTAGAAAAATTCTCCATTTTTGTTTTGTGAAAACATGAGATCTCAATACTTACAAAACTGGGCCCCAACCGACTAGTGGTATACCAAGACCAACCCTATCGATTGGAAATTTCCGAGGTTATGCTGTTAATAAAATGTTGATTTATGTCGGCCGACAGATTGTAATCCCTTCTCAAGTTGTGGAGTAACGCAGTGACCCTTTTGCTCGCGATAGCGAGTGATTTTCTCGCCATCGGGTGATGATGGCACGCAATCCGACCAACATCCCCCTCATATCCAAACATAATTCGCAACTTCCACTTATGTTGACGTTCGAATAGACTTGTTTCCAACCCCTTTAGCCGTGTTTATCCTAGTTTTCCCGTATAACGCAATTGCGAACATGGACGACGTGAGAAGCACCCACCACATGGCAACTCATTGTTTCACAACTTCCCGGAGAATTTCAATTGGCTGCAGATTCGACAAGAAAATTCTTGGCATAAAGATATGATGGAATCTACAGACTTTAAATATTCCTCGGCGCTGCACATTTGACCTTGGCTTTTCTCAGCATAGCCAAGCATCATGTCTAACACGATAGATACGGCCAAGCTGGCGCTGATATCCCAGGGAGCGGCCTATGGTCTGCTTATTGGGCTTGGTGTTGTCTTTTGTGGTGTTATTCTCATCGCAGTTAAGGTTCAAAAAGCGTATCTGGCGGAGGATTCTGGAAAATCTGAAATGTTCATGGTCGCCAATCGATCTGTTGGCACGGGCTTAACTGCATCTGCGGTTTTCTCGTCATGGATGTGGATTAATGAGACAGTTTTGGCAGCTGCGATGTGCTATAGATATGGACTTGCAGTTCCTTTGGTATGTCGCTCTGGATTTGGGATCATGCGTTCACTACTGACAAATGTTTAGTGGTGGGGATCTGGCCTTTGTTTCCAGATCGCATTAATGGCCGCACTTGGCGTAATGGCCAAGATCCGAGTGCCGTATGCTCATACCTCCCTTGAGATCGTGCGTATGCGATATGGCAAGATCGGACATCTTGTTTTTGTCGTGCTCAATCTTGTAAACAACGTTTTTGGTTGCGCCTCCATGATCATGACCGGATCCCAGCTGATCTACGGGGTATCTGGAATGCACTTTGTTGCAGCTACTATCCTCATCCCACTTGGAGGTGAGTTTGCACTGATATGGAAACTTGGCATCAAATACTAAATGCGCTACAGTGGTTCTCTATACAGCAGTGGGTGGTCTGAAGGCCACATTCCTGACTGACTTCTTACACACGGCGATTGCATTGATCCTCATCATTTACTTCACGATCGCCGTTCTGACCAACAAAGAGGTCGGTGGATTGGGCGGCCTGTATGATAAGGTCGTAGCGACAGCTGGCGATAATTATATCCCTGGGAACTATGAGGGCTCTCTACTCACATTTAAGTCCAAGAACGCCATTATCTGGGGATTGATTCTAAAGTTCGGAAACCTGGCCCTCGTTGTCATGGTAAGTAGCTCCTAATTCCATGCCAAAGCACACCCGAGGCTGACATTTTATCAATCAGGATACCGCGTTCTGGCAAAAATCATTCGCAACCGAAGTCCAGGCCACAGTGCCAGGATATAATATTGCTGCGCTGGCCGTGTTTGGTATTCCATGGGGCCTCGGAACAGTCCTTGGATTAACTGCCCGAGCAATCCACAACACTCCAATCTTCCCGACATACCCTGGTGCTCTCACTTCGACGGAAGTCAGCATGGGAATGGTTATGCCATACACGATCAAAGCACTGATTGGAGACAAAGGCATAATCGGGTTCTTCTTTCTGCTGTTCATGGCCCTGACGAGCACGATCTCGTCTTCCATGATCGCTGTCAGCAGTATCCTCTCATATGATCTCTACAAGACCTATCTAAATCCGAAGGTAACAGATAAACAGCTTGTCCGGGTTAGTCATTTGACTGTGGTAATCCACGGCGTCTTTATCACTGGGATTTCGATCGCGATGAACTATGGAGGCGCGAACATGACCTGGATCAATTATCTACGACCGATCATCTCATGCCCTGGAATTCTACCGCTTATTTTCACTTTGTTCTGGTCTCGTCAAACCAGATTGGCTGCAATTGTCTCACCTGTTCTTGGCTTTTTCACTGGTCTTGCCGTCTGGCTCGCAACAGCCAAGTCAATGTATGGTGCTGTTGACATCGCCGCCACTTCAAATAACTATCCTGCCCTCTACGCCGCTATCGCGTCTTTCTTCTCGCCGGCACTGTACTCAGTTATTTTGTCGCTTTACCGACCTTCCACATTTGACTGGAGGGAATTCCTGCGCATTGAGCTTGCAGACGAGGCTCAAATACATGCGGCGTCAGACACAAGCACACTGAACGAAAGTAGCGAGGAGGATCAGACAGACGAAAAGCGTGTCACCGGGTCTGTGAAACCAGTTGCCGACGGACCTTCGGAAGCCAACTCTGACCTCGAACACATTGGCGCCAGCGAGAAGAATGCTCCGTCGGCTATTTCATCGCCTGGCTCAGTCGAGATTAGCTTGGACAATATTCAACATCCATTCGACGATGCAACTCTGAAAGAGCTTTACCGATGGCTGAAAATCGCCTGCTATATGTTTGTGGCTATTGTGTTGGTCACATTTGTTGCTTGGCCACTTCCTCTCTACCGTGACTATATTTTCACAAAACCATTCTTTGCGGGGTGGGTAACGGTGTCAATCATCTGGCAATTCGGTGCATTTGGCGCTGTTGTCATTTATCCACTGTATGATGGACGCCGCGAAATTGCCACTGGCACCAGAGGTATTTGGACCTCCTCGTTAGAGTACTTCGGCAAGAAACGAACAGCCTAGTATTATGGCAGAGCTAGGATTTAGACACAAATTCTATAGTTAGATTTAGATAATGGAGTTGATCGGAGTTTTTATGACCCGAAGAATAAATTATGCACTGAAAACATAACAGTCGGGGACCAGATCGGGATGACCCGCCATGCCTCGTAATTTGCCTACTGTAGGAAGTTTCCCCAGAGACCACCTTAGCCTGCCAAAATTTTGTCTGCTAAATATCCTTAGCGAACCGTTTCTTCATTTTTGTTCTCACGCAGCTGCTACCCCACACTCAGTCTCACCGATACCAAGTGATCATTCTTCGTCTCGCCGACTTCCTTTACAACGTTGAGATCGATCGACCCCACAATGTCTGATCAGTCTCAAAACATTTACGACGACCCGGAGTTCTTCTCTGCGTACGGAGAACTTCCCCGATCCAAACATGGGATTTCGGCTGCGCCAGAATGGCCCGTTATTTGGAACATGATCCTGAACGCTGCATCCCCCACCACTGACAATACAAACGACAACCTTAACGGCAAGGAAATCCTCGATCTAGGATGTGGATATGGCTGGTTCACTCGGTGGGCCCGTGACAACGGCGCTGCATCTATCAAAGCAGTCGACATTTCCCAGAAAATGATCGACCGCGCTAAAGAGTTCGAGGTGGAGGCTGCTCTTACCAAACAAAATCGTGGTGATTCAGTCTCCGATACGAAAGTCACGTTTGAAATCAGCGATTTGGAGTGTATCACCCTCAGCAGCGAATCAGAGGAGGGACAGTATGACCTAGTTCACAGCTCTCTCACCTTCCACTACATTGCAGATCTGGGACGGCTATTCCGCGAGATTTACGCCTCTTTGAGAAAGACATCTGCAAATGGACAAAGAGGGAAACTGGTGTTTTCAGTTGAACATCCCATCTGCACCGCACCCATTCACCCAGGGCCAGACTGGAGAGTGATCCGGGATGCATCGACAGACCATAAAGTTTGGCCGTTGAACTCCTATGGCGAGGAAGGATTGCGCTTAACAAATTGGCTTGGTATAGAGGGGGTCAGGAAGTACCATCGGACTGTTGAGACATATGTGACACTATTGTTGGAGAGTGGGTTCGCATTGACAGCACTCAAGGACTGGTCACCATCAAAAGAAGATGTGGCAGAAGAGCCGGCGTGGGAAATCGAAAGACATCGTCCGTATTTCTTGCTTATTTCTGCCGAAGTTAGAGGATAGACTCGGAACCGGCTTCTGTGGGATTCTCAAGCTGTGGGCTAGGTTGTTTGGAACAAGTACTCAGTGGCCGTTTATTAATGTTCTTGGGCAGAGCTTGGAAACGTATATTACTATGATTTAATTTTGATATTATGATGCCAGGCGTTTGTCTATATTGAAACTTTTTGGAACATAATGGGTTTATGATCTCATGATCCCGGGGGTGACTTTTGTTTCTATACCAACCTGTGGGATTCCCATCTTTAAGTGAATGATAGCGGCATATTGTGCCTTGAAGGCTGATCCCTCTATGACATGTCTATTCGATCAAAAGATGGGTTCCAAGGTTATAGTCCTATTTGGCTTAGAGCGCTCACGTTCCAAATCCGATAGTGCCGCTCATTACTTCGTCATCCTACTTACTCTCCATGTCTTTTATTTCCTCCAGGGCTGTCTCCTATACGGTTTTCCTTTTACCTCTGCAATGTTTTATCCCTGCAAAATGCCGGACCAACCCTCAAAATCCGATGAGCCTCATAATTATTCACCAATATGTCTACTTTGTGGTGTATATATTTTGAGGTTTGACGATGGAACGAGGAGCAAAAATCACCTGGATGTGCTCAAGGAGTCTCAATGGGAAATCCATCGCAAATTCCCGATTCCCGAGCATATTCTCGTGCCATCGACCGAAGTGGAGAATAAAACTTTCTCCAAATTTCCTTGGCTATCATCTTGCTATCATCGAGGGGGTAAGTTGACATTCTCATAGAAACATTTAAATTTGAAGCTAAAAGTAAATCCAAGCTGTCAGATATGCTTCTTCCTCAAAATATGTTCTCACGGGAGTTGGCCCAGCTCCACCTCTCTGTGGTCTGCCGTACCATCTTCCAAGAGACAAAAACACCGCACGAATTTCTGGACGAGAGGCGATACCACAGTATGATGACACAATATTCACACAGTTCCATCCAGGAAGTTACTGGATGCATCCAAGTCTTTATAAACACAAAAATATGGGATATGTGTTTCACTATTATTGTTGGGAGATCCTTGGCCATCTGGCAGGGAAAGAGTTGATCGAGAAGAAACTTGGTCAAGTTGTTCAAGCCGGGAAGCAGTATTGGCAAACCCATAAAGAATGGGGTTTTAGATGGGGTGTTACTGACATAGATACCCTATTTCGTGCCCAGCTCAAGAGGGTTCCATACGTGAGATGTGAGAGCTACTTTCGCGGCTGTGATATCTATGTCAATCCATGGATTATACCCGAGCTTCAAAATACAATCCAGCTTGCCCAAAATATGGTTGGAAAACGCAAAAGCTCCTATCTCAACAGATTTCCACTCGAAATCTCCCTTCTGGTGGCGGAAATCATTTGCCCTATCATCTACACTCAATCCGATGTGCAGAATATGCGTAACATGTTATCTGTGTTTGCATTGAATTTACCAGATGCCTTTTGGAGAAGCCGATTACAATCCAGACGTGATTTGTTCTTCGAGGTGAATTTGCTAGAGACTGATTCAGTGGACTGGCAGCTCTTGTGGCTAGGGTTGATGGGCCTTCTTTCCGATAAATGGTATACCTCCAGTGGATTGGCACACCGCGAGCGATTACTTGGACCAATTAGGGGAGATCATCGCAAATTTTCAATAAATTCGACAGAGACATTTTGCTGGGAGATAGTATCACAGGTTCCCTCGTTTTTTCTTGCTTTATGACAGATCGGTTATGGCACTTTACCATTCTAATGAATCCATTTAACCAACGATGCTAAATATCCACATCCTTTCTCGAATTCCTCAGAGCTAGTACACTGCCATGCGTTCGACTTGATTTAGTTCATCATTCTCTAAGTATCTGCAATTTCTTTGATTGGGGGGTCCTTTTCTATCGAATTTGTTGACTGCAGCTCCATCTATTCCGACAATCTGTATAGTAAAGCCGTTGGGGCGTAGCTCGCAAGGCCAAATTTCGCGACATTAGAACCTTCTGTTCACATAGCTAGATGAGAGGGCTAAAAAGAGTAAAAAAAATGCCTATCTAGTACAAGATGTTAGAATAAGACCTAGCAAAAATGCTTCCATAGAAGTCATGAATTCCTCGTTATTAGTATAATATCAGATCGGGTATAAATACCAATACTGAATATCTCAGGACTGATTGATGGAAGGAAAATGTTGAGGAATTGGTGCCTCGGGTGTCAGGCCAGTTCAGGTAACGAGTTAGTTAGATAACTGAGAGCTTCTCTCTTCCCTTCTTCGTAGCTAGATCAATACCATACATATTGCTGTCTCTCTTTGTTCTCAGAAACATAGCTTAGGGTAATCAGCCCCTCAGTGTATAACTGACCAAATGGATTAGACTATTATTACAAGGAGGTATATGTATACACAAACGGAAACAGAGCAGAGGAATAGAAGCCAAGATGGCAAGCCGATTTTGGAGATTCCGTTCCTTGAAGAGGAATTCCCACTCTAATGCTGATGGTCAGTGTTAGCTACTCAATATGAACTTTTCTTACAACAGGTAGCTACCATTCCAACTTTACAATTATCCAGTGCACGCCCAAAGACAGAAAATCAAGTATGTCTGTTATTCGGTATGATACATGCCTATATGACTAGCTATGTATTCAGTGATTGGCCTTGATATGGTCGAGTATCTGTTGGATAGCAATACGATCATTCTTCAGGTGCAAGCGTCCAGCTGTAGATGGGACCGTGGGATCACCAATGTCCCGAACACTGTTGGTTGCGTCGTCGTACAGATATACGCGCATATACATGCCCACCGCAATTATCCCATATACCGGCGTTCGGTTGACATGCCGGGTGCGGTGGGTTGCAGAAAGATATTGATCGAGTTGTTGCACACCTTCCCCCCAGGTCGAGGCTCGTGTTTCCAAACCAGTCCTCTTGCATTGCACAATCAGAAATTTGTTGGCTCGCTGTTGGGCAGACGGATACTGGAACGTATGCAAATCTGAAAACCCCCGCTGCCCCGCTTGGCTTGTATGACGGTCTTGGGGGCGTGTCACATAGCCCTGTTGGACGGGGAATTGCCATGTAAGGATGGTGTTCCAGACACCATACAGGACACTCTCGGATCCAGCCCGAGGAACGCGGCTGGTCTCTCGCTGAATGGCGGGAATATCGAAATAGTTCTGATAATATTGACATCAGTGGCCCGAAATCTCGTAAATGCCCAGGTGGAATCTTTGACTTACCAAAGCCATGTTGAAAACGTCTGAGGAGAAGTATTGAAACTCGACGTTGCAGTTATCTTATATACCTATCGACATATTATTCACTCGTACTTTTACCATTGAACACCATTCAAACTATGCCCGGGCATATTGTTTACTGCTCCATCAATAGGGATGTAAATACATTGGGCTGTTAAATGAATACATAATAGGCTAAGAAATAAAGACACAATGGCCCAGTAAATAAGCACACAATATACCAGTAAATGAATACAGTATACCGGATTCATGGGTAAATTAATTGATTGATTCGGAGTGAAGCAGAGCTCTATCATAAATAACTACACATAGTAGCATTAGCCTCTGACCAGTCTGAGTAATCAGTGAGCGATCAGTGAGCGCTTATTGGACCTCCGGCTTTCTCACGTGATGTATTTGAGCAGCTCACTCTGAGCGCCCTCGTAAAAGCGGCGGCAGCTCAGATAGGAAAGCCCTACCCGGAAGAGGAAATACGTTACGTACAGTGACCACTAATCTGGTGGGCGCCGCTTTCGTGCTGATGAGCTGCTCGCCGCCAGCACATAGATGCCCCGGGCGGCTACGGGGTCCATCGCGGTGTGATACCTAGAGAACACCGACAAAACATTTACTGCTCCGTGGGGAAGTGTCATGTGCGTCCCCTGTCCGGCCCGCAGGATTGTACCGCTACTCAGACGCTCACTTCACACCGTAGGACTACTTGACATCCTTACGACTTCCAAAATTTGGGACGATTGTCCGGAACAACGAGGGCAGATACGAGTATGGTCCCTTGTCAGGAATCGGCCGTCCGTTCGACACCGCAACCCCATTCTTCGAGGCGTGGGCCGACAGCGTCAAGATTAAGCAGGATAAAGAGACAATCACACGCATGATGCAGAGAGGTCCAATCCCGGCGGAACAGATGGTTATGATTATCGAGAATTTCCCATCGCAGATCGAAGCGATATCTAGCCGGCTGTCCTTGTGCAACGAAGGGCCAATCCCTCTGGACCATGGTGACTTTCTTCATAGTAACATCATGGTGAATGGGAATAGCTTCGATTTAACGGGAATCATCGAATGGGAAGCGCATGTACAGTTCCCTGAGGGCTCATCGCGTTCCCCGAGTTTCTTACAGCCATTCCTGTCTCCTTCGACTTCCCTCAGAAATACGACCAAGATGGGCAGCCCTTTGGTCAGGAGTTACGAGAAAAATGGCGCGAGCGAAGGGAGTATATTGAAATGGTAAGATTGGCCGAGCTTAAAGATAGCCTACTCTCGGCTTGCCTTAGCAGCAAGAGGAGCCAGAATATAGCTTATGTGTATGGGTCGTATACTAATTTTGGAAAGCTGGGCTTTTATGATCGGGTTGTAAAAGAGTTAGAGAGCAAGGAATAAAACTTCAATGGCAAAAGTGAGCTTCAAAGTTGGACTAGATAGCAAATTATAGTGGCAAGCCCAAATTTGTGCAACTCTGTATTCAAGTATGCGCGCGTCGACTATCACAGACGTAAGGAGTCTGCGTCGCCTCGTGTTCCGGGCCTGGTGCTCTAGCACCAAGCAACATGCATACTATTTACCAATTGCTAGAAAATAACGTCTTTACCGCCTCGAATTGGCTTAGTAGCTCATTAATTGGTAGCCCATTAATCACTTGATGCGGAAGAGCTTCGAGCCATATCGACAAGCCCGAGATTACGACGATGTACATAACTTCGACTTTGATTCAATGTAGGCAGCAGTGGCTTCAGTTGAGGCGCAGGGCTATGTGGTTACGCTAGTCCCGATTCAGTATGCAGTAGGTACTGCGAAAAATCTAAGTGGGTCTTTGCTCGCAGCCAGTTATAGCGGCCATGTTGGCCTGGGTCTTAGTGAATGTGGCTGGTTAAAACTTGGACTTGATATGAGTGTCGTATCATCGGAACTAATATTACTTCACATAGTCAAATGTCAAATACTCCTTTATATGTGCTGTCCATCTACAAAAGCATTGGCATGCCCAGTAGATAGACCGGCTATGTTTCGGTGGCCGCGATGGTTCTCTATAGGCGAGGCGCTGAACCTAATTGGGCTAGGAGTGCGACGAGACAACAGGGGCCCGGATGCTACTGGTCCCCATCTACTAAACCTTCAGGAGTAAGCAGCCCTGCAAAAGAAGATGCAGATCCACAATCTTATATTTTCACGGGGCGTGTGGCTCTGACCTTGGATTTGACCGCACAGCCTCAAGAAGCTTAGCAGTCCTATTTGGGATATGAATGCGAGCTGACGGACATAGGTAGTTAAATAGCAGCCCAATGCCCATGAATTGAATATCATACAAGGCCAAAGCAGTTATTTCGAAGTCTATAATCGTCACTCATCTCTTCACCGGCCATTATGATCGACTATCGGCATGGGATCTCAATTCTAGAGATCATCGTTTACATTCCAACCTTCTTCCTCGCCCTTTGGATGGCATTTCACCATGGATTCAAAAGAGTTCCGGCTGGTACTTCTTTGTTGTTTTCTCTCTTGCACGCATTACCGGTGCAGCATGCTATCTGGCCACAATAAATGCGCCTTCCAATATCGATCTTTATATTACATGGGCTGTCTGCACGTCGCTCGGGATATCACCATTGATCCTAGCCTGCGTAGGTCTTTTATCGCGAGCGTGAGTAGCATTTGACTTATTTAATCACTTGGCAGTGACTGATTGTCTTTCTAGAAACGACTCCATAATGCGAAAGACAGCCAATCCTCTCTCCCCCCTGCTCTTCCGAGCCGTCAGTCTTCTTTCGCTAGTTGCCTTGATTGTGAGCATCGTCGGAAGTACCGAAAATAGCGACATCACCCACGGCCTGGTAAACACCAAGACACAAGTTGCCCTGGTTCTCTTTTTGGTCACCTGGGTTGGGGTGTGCATCCTATTCCTCCTCGTTGCAAATCGTTCCCATAGCATCGAGGACGGAGAACATCGCCTACTCCTCGCAGTCGGAATTTCACTTCCTTTGATCCTCGTTCGACTGATCTACTCATTTATCTATTCTTTCGGCCACAAATCTGACTTCAGCATGCTTTCGGGAAATGTCACGGTTCAGCTGGTGATGTCTGTTTTGGAAGAGATCGTTACTGTTCTCGTGTGTCTAGGAATTGGTCTCACACTCCAAGTGCGACCAAGTCCGGAGTACTCCCACCAGCCTAGTGTTTCCGATCGACAGAGTGACGCGATTGAAATGGAAAGTGGTGGCTATCAGGAACATCAATCTCGCAGGAGGCAAAACCCACGGCCCAAGCGTCGTGGTGGTCCTCTGACCAAACTGGTGATGTTCATCGTAGATGAGATTAATGACAGGAGGAAGTGATGGAAGTAATGGAATGGTTGAATGGTTTTGTATTAGAAGACGGAGGTCCGGTGTCAAATACGCAGAGTGATGTTGTTGGACATTCAAGATATATTTTTTTCGGCCATAGACTAGGAGCTAAATAGATACATTGATTTTGAAATATGCATTTAATATTCTTATTTGGTTTGTAAGGTTCTTAAAGTCGATTGTTTTCCCCTCTCGCTATTGGTGAGATTGTGCACGCTACCAAGTCTTTAACGATATATTGAACATCCCAATGAACACCTTCACTATTCTTAATTTTTTTTTTTTTTTGTACTTTCTGATTTTTACTTCCTACGAGGTATATAGCATATCAACAAAATCTGTTCGAAATTGTTCCCCTTTTTCATAGTTAAATCCATGACGTCAGGACTGAGCTTCACTCCAGGCAGAAGCGGCAAAGGGCGACAAAAAAGTAGCCTGCACCAAACAGGCAAGAAGATCCTTACCCTGCGAGAAATCAGGCCTTTAATTTGCCAAATGGATATCTCAACTCAACTCCCCTGGAGATCGTTCCAATCATACTGCTGAAGGCATCGCCCTGATGGATCCCAGCACAGGAACTCCCCTGTTCGTTGCCCAAGAGGCGCTGTGCTACTACCCAATCAGCACAATATACAACTCATGTCCCCGATACCTGTTCTATGCTCTCATTCTGGCAAGCTGTGTAACCCGATGGACTGGATGGTTGGCGGACGTGTTTCTGGGCGCTGCGGCGACATATGCAGGGACGGCAGCCATCCAAGCGTTCATTCTCGTTTCCAGTCAACAAAAGCCACAGGAACCTAGTCTCATTACTATTCCGTTTATATCCTCAAACACGAGTCTCACGAAGGACTTTCCTCAACTGGTCACGGAAACGGACCATCTCATGCTTGCACCTGCCTCTTTGGAGTTGGATGCCGATGCCGTTCTTGCTATTGTCGTTACTGGTTACCTGGTGTTCCTACCCCTCCAAAGCTGGTCGCGAGTCTTGACTCACGACCGAGCGCGCAACCTTTTGTTTTATCTCTGGAATATCCTTATGCTGGCGGGTTCGATCTGTGCTCTGATCTATGCCGCGAAAGTACCAAATACTCCGCTGCAGTACATGTTTTGCTATCCCGACTTCCCACCGTATAGTGACACCTCAAGTGACGGTTGGGGGGACTCCTGGAGGACTTCGACTTGGAACAATAGCGTGTGGGAGACATTCTCGAATACTTCACGCTGGGGCCAAATCGGGGATATCTGCTATAACCCCTGCTTCAATACTAGCCAGATTCTACGACAACAAAGCTCCTTGCACTCAGCTACGGTAACAGAAGAAGACTCCGCAGCGCCATCATCCCACGGATTTTGGAACAAAATTCTTTACTCGAAGCGGTACATCTACAGTCTCATCATCCTATGTCTCGTTCTCAACTGCCTACTGCTGGTCTTCAGGTTTCTCCCATACAAATCGCGAATCCCCTCTTCTCAGATCGTAGTTATCTACAAAAGTCGACGGAAAATCTGGACCGACTTCAAAGAAGATGTTCGCAATGGAGTGAAACGCCCAGTAAACGAGAAACCCGGAAATGAAGAGGGCGGGAATGCAACATCTGTCGCCAAGCAACCCTCACATTTGCGACGACTGCGGCCTTTCTTCACTTGGCAGTTTCTTAAGGCGTTTTTGCATGTTTCAGTTGACGCTGGGATTCTGTTCGGCATTGTTTTCAGTATGATTATTAGCCCATTCACTATCGTCGCATTCGTCGTATGGGTTGAGTGGACTCTATACAACGACGGCCCATCACAGGAGAGCCCACAACAGGTTGGACAGTGGGCGTATCTGGTTTCGATTGCACTTCTCGTGATCTCCGCTGGGATTTTAACACTAAAATATCGACTCGCCTCATCCACAGAGTTGGACAATGAGATTGACGCTCTGCGAAAGCACTTGAGTGATCTAGAGGAGAAGAGAGAAGCCCGGTCATAATCAGATGAAATTTGAGGCCAGTTGACTGGAAGATGATCAATGAAATTAGGCTTACCAAAAACAGCCAATAGACACCTTTGTTTGCTTCGGTAGAAGCGTCTCTGCTTCCCAGTCTTCAGTGGGATTTTTAAGTGAAATCTCCTTTGCTGTGGGAGAGGACAACTTTCTTTGTTTACCCTGACAGCCCTCCCATATTCGCCGGGATAGCCTATCGTAATTAGGTACTACTTCGAATAGATTGAAGCAGCTTGGTCGCCAAGCCAGCCCCCTTTGGCACCAACCACGCGTTGCTATGTTTTTGGCCGATTCCACTGAACTCTTTCAAAATTTACGAACATCAAAATGACCAAAGTAATATTATTACATACAGAGCTACATCTTGTTGATGATTGACTATCCCAGATGCCGAAAGCATGGGCGCATGACTTTCGAGCTTTTGCATCCCGATACTGCAGTTGTCAACGCAGATAGTGGTGTTGAGTTGCCATATAAACCGCAGAAACGCGAGACGTTCACATGATCGAAACTCTGACGTATCAGCAGCAGGGAAACAATGAAAGAAACCCATATTGCATCTAAGCGAGGGCCAAACCTTTATAGACGATCACTTGGCAAATGTGCGGGGGTGGGCCTCGTCCCCAAATAGGGAAAAAGACATGAAGCTAACCCTGCAACTGTTACGAAACAAGGTCAATGCTTCCTTCTTTTCACGAAAATGGGACATTCGATTCGAGGAGAGGCTTCCAAATGCGGCTGGGATTTTCGTATCGACTGATATTGCATCACGTCCCGGTTGTGTTACATTTCACAATAATCCTCGGCACTGACCGTTCCCCGCCCTAGGGGATGCATATGGGGTTCTTTATCTACTGATATTTTGTTGTATCGTGTGCAGGGATTCATTTTGTCTTTACCCCTAAGTGCAGACTGAAGATGGCCACAGAAAACAAACCCAGCTTAGAATGCGTGGAAGACATCTCTCGCGTTAGCACAAGCGAGAACAAGTCGTACATTCCACTATGGCAATCTATCAAGAAATGGCCGAGGATCGTGGGGTATTGTCTCGCCCTAAGTTCGGCGATTCTGCTCTACGGATATGACCTCGTTATCGTGGGAACGGTGGCCGCGATGCCTCAATTTCAGTATACCTCCCAACCCTTAGTTTGACACAGCCAGGATCTTGCTCACATACTGAAGGCTCGTTTTTGGACAGGAGCTCAACGGCAAATACATAATACCGTCTATGTGGCTCTCCCTTTGGAACGTATCGAGTTGCATTGGCATGATGATTGGTTCCATTCTCGGTGGCTATTATCAAGATCGCCGCGGTCGTCGCTTGACCCTTGCGATAGGCAGCTTCCTTTCTGCAATTGCCATTGCGATATGCTATATCTCCGATCTACCCGATAGCATCGAGTCGCGTCGAGGGGCTTTCTTCGCGGGTAAACTCTTTCAAGGGATCTGCATTGGGATTCTTCTGTGCGTTACGCAGACATATATGTCTGAAGTTCTCCCAGTGGTTCTGAGAGGACCTATTATTGCATTTTATCCGATCTTTACACTTCTTGGACAACTAGTCGGGTCTGTCGTGGTCTACACTTCGCTCAAGCACAAAGGCCCCGAATCCTATCGTATCTGCTTTGCGTCGCAGTGGCCATTCTCAGCTGTGCCCTTTGTACTGGCGGCCATTTTACCAGAGAGTCCGACTTGGCTTTTGAGGAAAGGAAGAACGGAGGCGGCTTTGAAAGCACAGAAGAAACTTAACACGGCAAGAATTGACTCGCAGGCTGTTATTGAAGAGTTACAGGCCTCTATTTTAGCCGAACAGGAGGAGAAGAACACGCACAGGTACATTGACTGTTTCAGAGGAGTCAATACACGGAGGACCTTGATTGTTGCTTTTGCGAGTCTGCTGCCGCAGATGTTTGGACTACAGCTACTGGCAAACGCCTCATATTTCATGCAGATCGTGGGCATGAGTTCGACAAATAGTTTGATATTTTTGATTTTGGGCATTGGACTAGGTTTGATTGCGAATGTGGTCAGCCTGTGGACTTTGAATGCTTTTGGTAGAAGGTCTCTCATATTGGGAACTCTGGGTGCTGCCATGGTACTATGGCTAGCCATGGGAATTGCAGGATGCTTCAGCGGTACCGTGATGATCTGGTAGGAATCCGCCATCAATCTTTAGAAGGTTAGTCTAACTTAATAATAGGTACACAGCTATTACCATGATGGTGGTGACCATGGTCTCTGGTCTTGGAACATGGCCTGCAGCGCATGTTGTCGCATCGGAGACTTCCTCGCTCCAACTCCGAGCCAAAGCCCAAGGTATTGGATGGTTTACCTCCGGTGTTGGCACAGGTGTATTCGCTATCATCTTGCCATATATCTACAACGCAGATGAAGGAAACCTGCGCGCCAAGACTGGATTCGTTATGGCTGGATTTGCTGCGGTCGGAATCATCATTTCGTGGCTCACTGTCCCAGAGATGAAAGGTCGGACCCCTATGGAGATTGATCGTATGTTTGCTTTGAAACTGCCGACTCGGGCGTTCAAGCGTTGGGATAGCGATGTTTCTGTCGCGAAAGAGACTGAAGAGTCTAGTCGGCTGCCTCAAACATGATCTTTCCACATATGTGGGGGCCTTTATCGTTGATATCGACCTCACCTGCTCTTCTTGCCCGCGTTAAGTTACTATGGCTGCTACGAATACTTTATCTTCAATAATGCAACGCTTTCCACCTCCCAGATTTGTATCTCCGTGCACCCACTGTAACTAAAGTGGAGCTCCTAGCTCCAGCTTGATCTATCATCGGTCGCTAATTACCCTTTGACTACGACAACACGAGCTTTCCCGAAATTCGTGTACATTTACGGAGTATTTTACTCATTGTGCGTATGATACGATAGGAGGCAATGGAAGTCCATGTGCAATTACATTCCTGCAGATCATGTGGTTACTACATAATTAAGCGTGCATAAAGCATCGGACATCTAGAAACTTGCAATGTGTCGGGCCCCAAAGCGCGGATCTGATACGAGCGCTTTTAGGAAGCGCGGCGACAGATGTATGACTAATCTGCGATTGATCCCCCCAAAAGTTGACTCTTTTCAACACTACTCTCCGTTTAACGCTTATTGTTCACTGTAATCTCCTTTCTTATGATAAATGGCTGATACTTCGGTAAGGAAGAGCTCAACGAGACCCGCGACGAGGAACTCACTATCTTGTGCACAATGTCGCTATAAGCATCTGCGATGCGACGGCGGCAAACCAATATGCTCACGCTGTGAGACGGAGACAAAACAGTGCATTTATCCTCCTTCGCGACGGCGTGGAAACCCAAAAGCAAAGCAGCCGACATATCCGCTTGAAAAGCCAGTCCATGAGAGCTCTGTTGAGTCGTCGTTGGACAGTCATTTTCAAACATCTAACCCCTCTTCATCATCTTCGATTGCTGCTACCGGGGAAACTGAAGCGTATTTCAATTCGAACTCTCAATATTTGGGACTATACTATGAGTCATTTCACGCGGCACACCCTTGCGTCCTGCCACTGCATGTGTTGAAGCAACGACTCACCGATCCGGCAATCCAGCCCCTTCTTCGGGTGTTGTGCTATGTTGGGTCAATTTTTGACAGTTCAGGCCCGTCTGAATTGTGGTACCAGCGTGCCCAAGAGGCAGTGAGTGAAATTCGGATGGCAACTCGGTCTCTCACTGCATTTGATGTTCAAGCTGTACTTCTCTATTCGATCGTCGTTTATTGGTGCAATGAACCAGACCGAGGCGTCGAGCTACTTGATGAAGCGATCCGCATGGCAGTATCCCTCGGAATGAATAGGAAGGAATGCTCTCAGACCTATGGGCATGGCGACCCGATCCTTGAGGAAAGCTTGCGACGAACTTGGTGGGTGATCTACATCACCGACGCCCACATCGCCGGCAGCACACACACATATCCATTTCGAACCAGTAGCATTGATACAACTACAGACCTTCCCTGCGAGGAAGATGAATATGAAAGCGGAGTAAGTGAACTCCTCCACATGTTTATCTCTATTTGCTACTTAGGTGTTAAGGACAAACAACTTGTGCCGTTGGATGCATTACCTCTGCCTTGCCAGCTCTCTAACTGACACTTGTATCAGAACATGCCACCGCCAAGATCAATAGAGGATTATGAGAACCGTGAATTTTGCACCGAGGAAGACACTGAATTTTCGTCCTATGCAGAGCTCATTGGTCTGACTCTGGCAGTTGATCGGGCTTTATCGCCGGGGAGTACGACAGACCCTCAACTCTACATTGCCATGGCTTCCGCCTCTGATACCAGCATTCGAGCGTGGTACAGCCTTCTTTCTCCATCGAAGAGAGAGCCCATTCGGCCTGATGGATCTATTGATGAAGTGATGTTCAAGGCATTGTTCATCATGCACACGTCAGTTACCTATTACTTCACCTTTACATTACATCTCTAACATTTGCTTAGGTACAACATTGAGATTCACCGACCGCTGTCCGCATTAACGCACAGCGCAATTGAGTCTGTCTCACACTGTGCTCCCAGGGCGCCATCAGAGCAACTGAAATGCAACAACGCCAAAGAAAAAGACCTTCACACCCTCAAATGTACGAAGGCTATACACAGCATCGATGAATTGTTGACTCTGCCAACCAACATGAAATCACACTCTCCGTTCATAATTTGCATGATTGCCAATGTGACCATCGCACATCTATCAGCTTGTCGATTTATCTACCATGGCCAGAGATTATCCCAGAGCCGTGAGAAGATTCGTTTGGCGATGGGCACTTTGAAACGCCTCAGTGAGCATTGGGTTTTGGGCAAGCGGACATACCGTGAAATCGGGATTATTGCTCGAGAGCTATTATCGCTGGCAAAAGATACCCCTGTTGGTTTGGGGGGCGTGGGTTTATCTTTCCCAGATCCACCGTCTATTGGTATGCCTGCTTCAGATATGCTACCGGACGGAAATTTCGACTTTTGTTCCTTTTTCGATTCGGCTACATCTGGCCTCAGTGAGCCTAGCTTGCAATTTATTTTGTGACGGCTGTTACCAAAATATAACATATCTCTTCTCCCCTAAATCATCCTAAATCAATCGTCTATTTAGTACGGCGACTGGAGTTTGACGGGGCTAAATTGACCTTCAATTATCGCAGACTAACGAATCGCCACGTATATAAAAGCACATCCAACCACCAAAATATCCGTACGCCAAGTTTCATTTTGAGGGTGATGAACAATCTTCACATCTCATCCAACTCGGGCTCCCGTTCTGGCTCTTTGGCAGGTTTGGCTGATTGTTTCTTCCCCACTGGTATCTTCCCCCGAACGCTGTCGTATATCTCTTCCATCGTCTATCAATCAAATGGTCAATGTCGAAAGATACAGGATGCGTGGGAATGTACTAACGGGATGGTATGATTCCTCCACGCCTGGGTTTTTGTTTCTCCGCTTGAGGATTTCTGACTTCAAAGGAGAGTCCTCAAAGTCATCCGGGAATGAGGCACCGACGTTCACCGCTAACGAAGTATGTCAGATGTTGTGCAACAGGTTGAATAAATATAGCAGCCGTACGCTCATCGTTCCCCTTAGGCTGAGACTCAGCCTTCCCATGCACCGAGGCTCTTGTAAGTCTAGGAAGATAGGGAGCAGAAGATCTGGCCAAATATCGTTTGATAAGAGCGTATTCCATTGTGCTTGAAAGGTGTTCTTGTGTGAACTACTGATTCTGACGTTCCGTTAAGACTTCTTTTAAAAAAACAGCTCAAGCGATATCCATGGCTATAATTATGATGATGATGTCAGTCCCATTACCTTCTGGATTCTGAACTCGTATATCACCGAATAAGTCGAGAGCCATTCACCAAACAAATAATGATGACGTCAGCGGTGTTCTCATACGTGACCAGGTTGGATGGTGGCAGATGATTATATTTGACGAGCCAATTAGAAAGAAAGAAATCACATATATTAAGGACAGGATAGGAAATGATAGAATACAAAATCAGGTAAACTACAGATACTGAGCAGGAACTTGAGGCCAAGCATCTATGCCATCCAGCAACACAAGGCCCATACCCGAAGAGAAGTGTGTCTCCATATGGCAATGCAAAAGGAAAGGGCCCGGGTTCACAACCTGGTACCGAATAGCAATCCAGGCTTCTCCGTTCGGCGCGGTCACAAATGTATCCCGATACAGAGGCGTGTTGAAGAAGCTGTCCGGGCTGCTCTCTCGTGCTTCCGCGATAGATCCCCACCCAAATTTCCCCCTTCCAGCCCCAATCAAAAATGCCTTGTTTGAATGCTTGTGCATCGGGTGCGGTGGCTGGAGTTTGGTTGGCGCTGGGATGGCAAGCTGGAACACAATATCTACCCAGGTGCCATTCCGCGTCTCAATCTTGAGGGAAGAATCCAAGCCAGGTGCTTGTGGGTTGAGAATTACTGGCTCCATTTGGTTCAGATTGGCTGGTAGGAATGATGTTCCGTCCAAAGTCCATTCCCAGGATGAGTTGATCCGTCCGAGGGTTAGGAGATGGAAATCATCGGCCTGATCCGCAGGTAGGATAGGAGGATATGGCGGCAGGGTTCTTGTGTCAAGCGGGATCACAGAAGCCGTGGTGTTGCTGCCACCGTAGTCGATGTATGGCGTCGATTCCCGCTTGTTTTGCTCGCCACCCTTGTAGGAGAGTGTCGCAAAGCCAGAGATGACCTGGTTATCGTGACCAGCGACACGGATGGTGTAGCTGCCAGCTTCCTTGTCCAATTTGACCATGGCAGAGTAACGCTCTCCATTGTAAATGGAGACCTGATGGGCAAGTTGCGGTTCAATGTAGCGTCCATCGACCTCGTATATGTACATCGGGTGCTCATCGATGGAGAAGATGAGAGATTTGAGACTTGCTGCACTGATGAAGTTGAAACTGGCCCATTTAGCTTCCGGTGCCACTTCGAAGACGGAGGTTGGACCATCGCTGGGTGTACATCCGGAGTTCATCCCCTCAGGAAGTAACTCTGGGTGGTGCTCCCAATCACCTTGGAGGACCCGCAGGAATGGATCACATCTAGCTAATATTAGAGTCTTTCTCAGTCGGTCTAGCAAGGTAAAGACTCACCCTTTATCCGTCAAACTCTCATTTACGACCGCTCGGACCGGGGCCGGCTGGAGGTTTGTCAAATATTCAGGGTCTTTGCAGTATATGGAGCCTGCACCATCGATGAGAATGCTATCTGAGCAACTGGTCTTGTCAGCATCGCCCTCTTTCTCTCATACTTGGAGCCTTACAAGATATCATAGCCCGTTTTTTTCAGGACATCCATGTATTCATCGGATGGGAGATGGTCCCAGTCAGACAGCATTACCAACTGGGCATCATGCGCAGCATTGGTCATGGCTGCAATATCGGCGGGGTCGTCAGAGATCATTGCAAATGGTGACTCTCGGTTGGCAGATGGGCTGGTTCTCTGGTTAGAACTGCAATGAAGAAATGCTGGTGCATACGCACCGAATACGAATGGCACCATATAGACCATCCATCATTCTATCCTTGTCATGAGCATGGTACCAGTATGTACCATAAGTCGTCGCTTGCCACCGGTACCGGTACTTTTCACCGGGCTTGATGGCCCATTGAGATAGGCCTGATACTCCGTCCGCCCATGGGGTGTTGGTTTGCCTGGTGTAGTTTAGTATTCTCCGGTTCTCTGGTAGGTTTCTTGCCGAAGGAGGCCTTACTCAATGCCATGGAAATGGACAGATGTATTGAATGGCAAGTTGTTGGTCACATCTATCTATTTCTTTCAGCGTGTGAGATAAACAGAGCACTATCAGACTCACTGTGATCTCATCTCCTTCATCCAGGATCAACGGCGGACCTGGAAACCGATCATTCACGAAGATCATCTCCCTCTCCACTCCGTTCGGTGCACCCTTCTGCCATGTAAGGTCGAGATTATAATGAACTTGGGCTGCCTCAATCAGGGCAGCGGCGCCCATCAAGGTCAGCAACAGCGACTTCGTATGTGTCATTTTCTGTAAGCTAGGTGGGTTTGAACCCAATATTGACGCAAAATAAATTCCCCGCCAGAGTCGCGTCTCGAAAATCCCTGCCAGCCAGCCTTATAATCAGACCTTGTTGAACTCCTTCATAGTTGCCAAGCCCACATTCCTCCGCTCAGCATAACAGCGGGCCCTTGCATTGAACATTGTTGCCAACCACGAGAACTTGATCTCTGTTTTGAGTCCGGATCATAACACTGATCTCATTCATTGAATGTGTGTGTCAGTCGATATACCCGCTGGCATTACTGAGGCCAGGTAAAAACGTCATTTAAAGGTGGAATGACTTTTGTATCGCCGTGGTAGTTCGCGATGTCACTGCAAATAGGTCGAGGTCATCAAAACTTGCAGAAGAAGGATAAATTAGGATTTTGATTGCTTTTGTGCTGAAGTAACGAAGGCGTAGCAAAGAAGGGCCTGGCCTGTGTCCCTATTTGTTTCGCCGGGTTAATTTACCGTCTGGAATGTGGTGCAAGGGAGGACCAGAACACAAAGCGCCAGAATGGCAGGAATAGTTTTTTTTATCATTTAACATCATATGTGGCTTCACTGTTGTCGCTCTCACTGCTAAGAACTGCTGATGATCGTGGCTGAATCGTCTATGTGCAAAGATAGCACACAAGCCAGTTTAGCGATGGCGCCCAAGGAGGACATAAACATTGCATTTTGGCGGTCCGAACCCTTCCAGCAGTACTTTGCTATGAAGAATAGTAAAGCATTAATTGATTTTCTTCACAATGGCATGATGCGGCTCGAAAAATACTCATATTTCCTTATTGCCTAACTGTTTGGATACATAGTCGTGGCACGCATTCACTGTGTCACCCTCATCACGTATATGAACTATAAAGTGTAAGTTCGTCACCGGTGGAGAGTCATTGTTCATGCCGCAGGTCTATACTCCTCATCAATCTGGATGAGAGCAGCCATCCCATCCCTCTCAAAGGCATCGGTATCCGTCACCATGGTAGCGATCAGGGTTGCCGGCTCAGTCTTGCTGGCATTATCGCTGATGCGATGATGGCATCCAGGCGCCTCGAACCAGCTTCCTCCCTTTGGAAACGTCTTCATTGGATCGTTGTTCATCTTGTTTAGAAGGGAGCCCTCCAGAACGTAGGCTCCCACGTTGGCGCCGCCGTGTCGGTGAGGAGGGGTAGAGCTATTGGGAGGGAATTCGACGCGTAGGCTGACGATGGACTTGTTTGGGATGCCTACGAGTCGATAGGAGTAGGCGATCTCGATAGCCGGCATGGGGCGGCTAAGCCAATATCAGCTTGTCATTCAATTTGTCAGCTTGATTGGTCCTCCAATCTTACCTAGGGTCGTAGGTAGGTTCCTGCATTTTCAAAGAGGTTTTGGCTGCTTTTCAGAGGTTGAGATGTGAATGTTCTTGCTGTTCTGTGGTAGATTGAACTGTTCAAATCTAGACTTGGTGGAAGTCTCCAGAGATATATATAGTTGAACAGTCGCCCAACACAATGTAGTACAAGTGAAACTGTAGTCACTTCTTGATTAGCTTATCTGGAACAGATAATTCCGTATAGCCTACAGTGTGTCAGAGTTTAGGATGTCTTTTGTTGGGAACATTATTGAGATAGTAGGATGTCACGATGACATAGTTCACCCGATGCTGATAGGCTATCAACAGGCTATCAACAGGCTATCAACTGACAGCCTACGTATCTTTGGCCCGAGCCATCTACGACACCTGAGGCAGGCCCCCAAAAGTTCACAAAACTATACAAAAATTAATATCTAATACTGCAAGTGAATGCTAAGTATTGCGCCCAAAAACAACTTGGCGTTCTTAGCGGGTGCAGCCCAAGCCTATTGCTGCAGTGGTAGTAGCACTGACTTTGATACTTCTACTCTTTATACATTCTGCAAATCTATACCAAGCCAATCCCCAGAAAACTTTGAATTTCGTAAGAAGCCGATCACAACGCATCAACTCAAGAATTATAATTTCACACCGCCACAATGACCGACTCCTAATTCAGTCTGCGATCTTTGTGAAAGGCCCAGGAAAAGCGCAAATCATGAATGGCTTATCTATTCCTTCACCTGTTATCGGTCAACATCTAGTCAGAACACATGCTGTTGCCGTCAACCCATCCGATTGGATGACCCCAGATACCTCTGCGAGACCAGGCGCCGGAATAGGAAACGATTTCTTTGGCGAAGTTGTCCAGATTGGAGAAGGAGTTCGTGCTCGGTGGTCCGTAGGAGACCATGTAGCTGGATTTGTGCATGGTTATAAGTCACAGTTGGATTCTCATAGGCCAGAATAACTGCAGTACTAAATTCTTCCTCAGGTTGTGCGGCAAACTAAAGGATTGGGCCTTTCCGTAAATATTCGAATGTAGACGCAGAACTTGTCGTATTCTTGCAAGCAAAACCTCATTTGAGGATGTGTCGATACTCGGCATGGGCATCCACTGTGGCACAGGCTTTGTATCAAGTTTTGGCCCTCCGTTTACCACAGGTAGATCCGACATCAACAAACCAGACGATTTTGAAATATGGCGGAAGCACTGCAACAGGGAGTCTTGCGATTCGATTTGCGAAACTGCAGATATCGGATCTTCGGATTGTGACCTACGCTAACGACTCATTCTTAGAGCTGGGCTTCGGGTGTCACAACATGCTCTAGTCAGAATATAGCATGGGTTATCACTTAGGTCTGATGAGATAGTCAACTGTCAAAAGCACAGATGCCGTCCAGCAAGTTTATCACTTGGTGCACGCACCAGGATTATTATTGATCTTGGATTGTGTGGCTAACGAAGATATTGCCAAATTCTGCTACAAATGCTTCACCCCACAGAATGCAACTACTCAATCGTCGAAATATGTCTATGCTTCATTTATGCCAGTAACAAATGTGCCCACTAAGGGAGATCTTTTACCTGTTTCTACGGTACTGAGCACATGGAACTTCGTGTATACTTGCTTTTGGCGACGATTCACTTCCATGGGCAAGACTTGGGAGAATTCTGTGGAGATAAAGCATACATGACTGCTTTCTACTGTCGACTCGAGACGCTACCCGCAATTAACAAGGTACGCCCTATGCACCACGAGATCATGGCAGGTGGATTGCAAGGTGTGTTGGAAGGTAGTTCTCTCGTTCGAGCTGGGAAAGTTCTTGCAAATAAGGTGGTTTATCCCATTTAACAAGGATGTTCGGTCGTTTGACTGTACCAAACAATTCTGTATTTGATGCGTTATTTGTTGATTCTCGCATATAAAACTACTGCCGAGGAGCTAATAAAATAGCCGTTATTATTCTAAGACCAAGGTTACACGCCAGAATCATACTGCGTCACATCATCACCGTTCACATAGCTCTTCCAGTTTGCGCAAGTGGAATTTAGCTGAGCGTAGTCAGTCTCGATCTCTGATTCACGCTCGAGTATCTGGACAGCAAAGCCTTCAGAGGTGTGCCAGGCGATGTGGCAGTGCATAAGCCAGGCCTATAGAAAAAGAATATTAGCAAAGTTGATTCAAACTTTCTTAACGTTAGACTTACACCAGGATTGTCAGTCTTGATTGCAATGACCAAGTAGCCACTAGCTGGCATCATTGCGACATCTCGTCGAGGCGCATTCACCAGCGTGAGACTGTTGGGATTTGAGGAGTCAAATTCGCCATAACCGGAGCCCAGGACCCAAAAGTCGTGACCGTGAAGATGCATCGGGTGGTCTTGGGCGAAAGGAGAATGGATGGCCATATATGTCCCATTTATCGGTCTCTGGAAGATGGATAACTCGCTGCTTCTTGGTCCATGTATCGTTGCCCTCGGCAACTTGAAGCAGGGTTGGGTACTCCCACTAAGTACGGAAAGGAGTCTTGTTCATAGTCCAGAGCAAAGCATTGTCAGTGACCTCGACCGAAACCCTTTAGATGCATCGTAGGTATAAGTTTCCGAGGCATTGATGGCTAGGTAGGGGACAAGGTCCGAAGAAGCTTCATCTGCACATGAATCTGTGTAACCATAGGCGAAAGTAGGCGGATCAGTCGTGGAATTACTATCATACCGGATGATTCCCTTCACATTATCAACAGCATCGGTCTCAGAGCAGGCTTCTTGGGGAATGGCACGTAGCCAGAAATTACCACTCGTAAGGTTCTTGGCTGTTACGATTACATCGTACCGCTGCCCCATGCCTATGCTGAGTTGAGTGGTGTTGTAGGGGTGAATTGGAACAAAATCAGCCGCGATGACCTCAAGGTGGTGACTGTCAATCATGAAGCGGAGGTGATTGTCTGCTGCAGCATTGACAATCCGTAGCCAGTATCGAACTGTTGGTTCAAATGTAGTCTCGAACCGTGATCCGTTTGTATCGTAGGTATTGGTCCCGTTGATCAGACCATTGGGTGCGGTTAGTGGTCCACCAGTAGACGCTTGAGTGACCAATTGGTCCGTCGTTTGCTAAAGAAGTTATCAGTACTTATAAGGTGTTTTCAATCAGGGTGTCAAGAACGTAGTACATGCCTGATACCAATCATTCAGGAAGACATGTCCAAGATCCACATCGTAGTTTGCAGTAGCAGGGCCATTGATCAAGATACCGCCAAATACTCCGTCCCATGCTTGGACGTAGAGATGTGAATGGTACCAACCAGTACCGTATCCGACAGCACGCCAGCGGTAGGTCAAGGAGTCGCCCGAAGCAATAGGGCATTGTGTGATACTTGGAACACCATCCATTCCATCCGTCCAGTTCTGGCGAATTCTGTGGAAGTGAAGACCAGTGCCATTGTTTTGCAATGAATTGGTGAAGTGAACGACTGAATTTATAGACATTAGCTTGCAAGTTTTCAAATTTGATGCGGAGCGCACTTACCAACAGTATCGCCCCAATCAGCAATAATCGTAGGTCCAGGGAAGGAGCCATTGATCAGTTGGACAGGCATCTCAACATCATCTGGCGCGGCGGTAGTGTTTTCAACATTGAACCAATACTCCCGCACAACACCAGTTTCCGGAACTTCCTCGTATTAGGTAGATATAATATGATAGCCATCCTTCCAGCATGTTCTGTCAGATGCACTGTTTACGCACAATGTGTCTCTTGTCGACTTTCCTGGCAGGTTTGCACCCAAAGCCGTGGACAACGAGAGAAGAGACGAAATTAAAATATTTTCTGTTGATTTATCCAAACTTGTTGACGGCACGGGTGTGGCCATACAGCCTATTTGGAGATGTACCTGGACGCCAATACTTGAACTTACTAGTAAAACTAGTTCTCAGTCTTCACCAAAAGTAAATTTCACTGTTTATACTCTCATGCACCGAAATTCCGAGCATTGAGCTTAAAGTTCACCAACCCGTCCCGTTCAATAAATGTCATTAATGGAAAGTAACCGGGGTGCGCGGACAGTAAGGTACAAGGCCACGCCAGCCCACAGACAGAGTGTACCCGGGCAATCGTCAGCTACGCAAACTAAGCTTTGTATGCAGTGTTGGCTCGCAGAGATTTTCCATTAAAATCAAACAGGTCTAGACTGTCAGCCTTGTGAGATTTGGGTTCGGAGATAGGGTTTGAGTAGATCTTGCCTCTATGCGGGAGACTGCCCGGTGATGGCCCGTGTATCAGATGTCTAGGTACGAGGATGGCGAAACATCAGCTGAGATAGTCGACTTTGGGTCCATATGTGGGCCATCTACTGAATTCTGCTAAATATTTACGAGGCGACTCCGTTCAGAGCTGGTCGTCTACTCGTTTGTTTAGGAATTCAAGGCTGCACATTTCACCCACTTGTCTTTCTCTAAACAAGGGCAGCAGAATGCACGTATCCACCTATTTCTATTGTTTCCTTGTACAAGCTTGCTTTAGCAATGCGTTTGCAAGCCCATCTCGCCATGTCAAACGTGGCGCTGAAACAAATGCTACACTCTACGCATACGGATTGAACTCCTCCTCGTGGCCCATTGCTTATGGACTTGATGATGGATGGTATGCGCCTCTGATTAGCTTTGTACTTAAACTCACAGATACTTATATCACTTCCTAGGCCTTTTGTATATTACACAAGATCCGGACGACAGCCAACGTTACTCCGCTCACCTGCGATCTTGCCTCCATCACCGGCGAATGCTGGATCGCCAACGCAACCTTCGCGAATGGTACTGCTGCAGGATCAATGTTCATCGAGAAGAATAATACAATGGGTGTCTTGCCCATTACCCGAATCGCCTATGTCAACAGAACTGTGACGGGATTTGCTCTGTTTGCCTCACAATTGGTATATAACAGTAACACTGAACTTGAAGTTCAGTTCTGGCCAAAGTCGACTGATACTGCTGGTGTTTATGGGCTTATTTGGACTCCAGACGGGGAGACTCCAACTGGGGACTTCCCAGTTGTGGTAAAGACTTCGGAGGATTCCTAGACTATGGAAATTTAGGGAACTTTGTCAAACTCTGTTACAGTTCAACGAGGGATTCTGTGCCACGTATCTGATAATTGGGAGGAGGTGCGAGTTTATTCATCACTCAGAGTACTACTTACTCACTTGTGGGTCTATGTAAAATTATGTGCCCGTAGCGTGGTAATACTTGAGTAATGAATATGTGTTTGGGCATGCTAGTTGTTTGCTCTACGCTTTCTGAATGAAATAAATGATTGTTTCTCGAATGGCTCCTAGAATTGAAATAATTGCTTGGTCAGTACAAGGCATGCTATAATACTTAGGCAGATATGGTATTTCATAAGCAGTACATCACACACGCTCATAGCCCACAATCGAAAAAACTGGACTTAGATGATAGAGCGCACAACTCGCAAAGGAGCAGCCTTGAACCACTCTCCCCAGGAGGCATATTCGACTTTCGGTGGAAGGTCAACATCCAGTGAACCATCACGCATGCCACTAACAATATCGATCTTATCGACAGAGACGAACCATCCACCACGGTCCAGCTTTGGGTCTTTGCTTAGCTTGGTGTAAATTAGCCAGACTACAAACAGAAAGATGACAAGAGGTGCAGCGAGATAGTTCTCAAAGAATCCCTCTGCATCTTTCGGGGCAACAGAAACGTAAAACTCGGCAATGAGACACAAAATGTTAAGCGATAGACCGATCCAACTTCCAATAACGCCAAATGGAGCCGCATATGCGAGTTCCTTTGCCGTGTGTCCATTGGCCTTCCAGGCGGAGCGGAAGCGGATGTGTGCGAGACAGATACTTCCCCAGATGAAGAAGTTTGAGATACCAGACAAGGCAAGAAGCCAATTAAAGATGGTACTTCCGGACGATGCCTCGTTAATGAAAGCGAGGAATCCAAAGGCGATCTGTAGAAGAATGCAGTAGAGGGGGCGCCCTCCCTTGTCGATGTATGCCATGAATTTTGGCGCCATGCCCCGTGCAGCCAGAGCTTGGATAGTCCGACTTGATCCATAGGTAGCAGAGTTGGCGACACTGATGACTGAAATAGTGATAATCGCATTCATGACAGAGGGCAGACCAGCGATACCAGCATTCTTGATTGAGACGACAAAAGGCGAGGCCTTGGTGTTGGCGCCCGAGGCTCCGAGCAGCCATTCGGCGTTTGAAGGCACAATCAAGCCAACAATGAATGTTCCGAGGACATAGAAGACCATAATACGCCAGAAGACCTGTTTCGTCGCTTTGGGAATGGACTTGGCTGGGTTTGCGGCCTCGGCAGCAGCGAGACCAGCCATCTCTGTTCCACCAAAGGCAAACGCAGCTGTAACAAAGACTGAGCAAAAGCCCTTGAAGTCCGTGAATGCGCCTGGGTCACGCCAGTATTTGGTTCCGATATAGCCTCCCTGTGGTGCACCGCCGCAATCGATAACGATTCCAAGGATAATGAATCCGATCACTGCAGTGATTTTGATCATTCCAAGGACGAATTCAACTGTAAATTGTAGTTAATATTAGTTGTATCCGGGAAAGCCATGACTTGTCTTACCTTCTCCATAGCCTCGAACGCCGAATATTTGGATGGAAGAGAGCACAACCAGGAACACTGCTATCCATATACCAACATTTAAGTCGTCTCGCCAATACTGAATGGTTATACTAGCAGCCGTGAGCTCGAACGGTAGAATAATCAGCCATCCGATAGCGTAATCCCAGCCAACCGCGAACCCCCTATTATGATAGTAAGATCAATCGTTAGTCTCTGTGATTGTGACTGGATGCTTGGAGTACCAACCAGGCTGGACTAATGAACTGGACACAGTATGTGAAGAAAGCACCGTTGACAGGATATAGCACGGCCAATTCTCCCAGAGCTTGAACTGTGAGAAGAAGCATTCCTCCAACAATCAAATAGCAAAGCAGCTGATTGGGGTTTTGTCAGTGACTATCATGCGTAGGAACTGTAGTCAACATACCAAAGCGCCAGGCCCGCCCGTTCTCAATGCACTCCCGGTACTAACGAACAGACCAGCACCAATAGCACCACCTAGTCAATCAAGTCACCATTTGAACTCAGATACGTTAGACTATCACCTACCGACGGCAATCATCTGCATGTGACGATTCTTGAGATTTCTCTTCAGGGGATTGATCCCGCCGACCGACATATCTTCATCGGCAGAAGGGAGACTCTCGGCAGGCTCAACAGCCATAGCTGCTTTCTTCTCGATATCCATCTCCGTGGCAGTCATATTGGTTGAGCGTATGGCACTTGCCGGTTACAGACAAAAACGGCTGAGGTAAGAAAACTACTGGGGAGGGGGGAGGCTGACAATATATACATATTCGACAGCACAGGGACGTGAATGCCATGATAGACATGATACCATTACACCAGCTCGTGGCGCCCGTCCCTTCGTCCCCCGATCCCATACGGCAAGGAGAAGATAAGACTCTCAAGAAACTATAATCATATCTTAACCAATCACAGTGGATGCCAAGAGATATTGTTTAAGCTTAGCTTAGACGCCACTTTTGAGGTTAGAGTATTTACCCCGGTGTATACATGCGTATTATTGGATGTATCTCTGCGTTCCCGTTTATTTCCCGTTTATACTTCGGACGGATCCTCTGCTTTAGGGACCTGGGCCGGACGATACGGGCTAAAATGTACACAATATAGTGATTTTAGTCTGGCCCTAGATAAGAACTGCACAATTCGGATCTTCCCCTTAAGTGTACCACAAGGGAGTAGGGTTAAGTGTGTATGACCTGGGGTTTTGAGTTCTAAGTGTGCCGTGTATTCGAAAATTCATCCCGTTATCTAGCGAAAGAACTCATAGATTGAATGACACTCGGACCCCTAGGCATAACATAGCGCTCCAAGCGGAGTATCAGCAGTGCCCATGTCGTGAATTTAGTGGTTGCCACAATCATAGAAGCTGCAAGGCGTCTTCTGGAAGGACTTTTGCTTCTTACGAGTCAAACTAAATCCCAATGGGGGACTGTGCGGTGATAACATGGTGTGATCTTATCACGGACCAATACTATCCCTGGAACGGTCAAATTGCCTCAGTCAGGGTTACAGAAGTATATTTTCCAAATTCCCAGGGCGCTAGACTGGAAATTTGCCCCTTTTCCAAGGAAATATAAGCCGTCGCATTGAGAGGAGGGAAGCACGAGATCACTTCTGGCTACCCGCCCCGGTACACCCAATCAATGGAGACATAAATTAAGTTCACCAATGAGATACTGGATAAAGGCCCACTAAATCGGAATGAATAATAGCGTCAGGGATATGGTGCGCACGTACGCTAACGGAGAGGATTATAATGATATTACTATTTTGCTGCGGGCCTAGGCTCTTCATCCCTTTAGGATGCAATCTATGTTTTCCTTTGGTAGTTGTACTATCACTAGGGAGGAATGGGACCGAAAACATGTTGAGATTGCTGTGAAGCTGTGGGGCTAGTCAGGCTTTGAGGGGCGTTCAGTTACACTGTGACAGCTAGGACCCTCTATTTCAATTTCTGTTTTGTTTAGTCTCTCATTCATACCAAAAAACACGTGCTCACACCTAGACAAGTTGTAGGAAAGTTGTGCTATCCTCGCAGATAGAGGGGAGATAGAAATACGCCCTTACTCACTCTCTCTATTAGTATACTGTACATCCTTTACTTGGTGGAATACATCGTAACCTTCTTGGCCTTACGTGATCGTATCAAAGTTTGCACCAATAATCCGTCTATATGATTTCGGTAATGCGGTCTATTTGAGCAACAGGACGAAAAGGTCGGAGTTTGCTTGAAGTGTCCGAAATAATCCGCTGACTATCTGCGAGACAAACCTCATGTGCAATGACGAAGCCATGAAACCCACCTGGGCGAAGTTAGCCTCTTCCAATTAATAACACTACTAAGAAGCACTCCGGAGAAACCAAGAGTTAGGCGTTGCAAGAGATCGTCAGGAACCAAAATACTCTATGATTAGTTTCAGCTCGGCGGCGGAACTAGGTCCGTTTCGGACACTATTACATGAAGACCAACTTTACGCTGATCGATGATTGTTTGGCAAGAGGTACTTCCGTCATTTTGCGCATCTTTTCATGATGAGCTCCAATTTCTCTCATGTGTGCAATAGAAGTTCAGGATATGCGACTGGGCCGTAGCTGTAAGGTAACATGGAAATTTTGAACCAGCGCTGCTTCATGAATGACGAGGTATTATCGCTATCTTCCATGTTATTTGTACCTATAATTAGAAATACCTTGGCTGCAACTGACCTACCAAGGTAGCATGGTGGGTGATTCCAGGTGATACGGTATGCGCGGGCATTCCACTCACCTGGGTGGTTCTCTGGGTTTGCCTATGTTATTGGAACCTTGGAAGTTGATCTTCAAATTGAGCGCCCATCAGTCACCGAGTATAAAATTCGGAATGGCCAGGTTAAAGTCCGTGAATCTGCATCTCAACGTGGGGAATTCAGCCGTAGCCCATTTGAGAGTACAGAAGGGCCCACGACCGGGGTGGTCAGTTTGGTGAAGTGGGATCTCCGGTAGCTCTCCAAGCATTTGTTGAAGTGCCTTGGAATGTTGGAAAGACTGACTTTGTTGAGTGGGATGTTTATGGAAATACAAAGGTTTGTCCCAATAGACTTTGGAGCATCCAACACAATGGTCAATCTGAATGTCACTCACACTTAACACGAAACCTATGTATACATCCCAAGCATCAGAGTTGCATCTCATCAATCCGGATAGATAGGTCCCTATTTCTTGGCATATGACCTAGGCCGTGAAGGGTCGTTGTTAAAGGATAAAGACATTGTCTTGGGGTCCTGGCTAAGCCATAAATCTTGCTTACCTCCAACGCAAGATTTTTCTGAGTGTAATTTTAGGCAGAGAAATAGAATTTAGATTACAATAAGAGAGCGGTAGACATGAAGTGCATTCACAAATATCAACCCCCTATCTATCTGTAGAAACTTCGAGTTCTTGCTTTATTTCCCGCTAGCAAGGACTTGTGCAACTTGCTCAGCGATGTTGTAATTTGTAACCTTGCGAATCTGGCTGGTCATGAGGGCAGGGAAAAATCCTAGCAAACATCGTTAGCATGGTTCACAGAGTACTTCCAGAGTTCAATCTCACCGATAAGCTTCATGAAGGTGTACATCGAGTACTCCTGGAACAATCCCATTTGACGCTTTGTGTTTTGGGTTTTTTGGGCAAATTCCAAGATACTTTTTACACGTGGCTGTCGCAAAGAGGTATATTGTTGTGCGGCTGCTCGAATGGCCTCTTTCTGGCTCTTTGGAGACATCTGCGTATCATTTTCACCACCCATGTGGAGATAATGAGCCAAAAATAGAACGAAGGCTTCGACATCCTCTAATGCCTGCGAAGAGCCCTGTCCTGAGCTTGGCGGTAGTGCATGTGCTGCATCGCCAACGAGAACTACCCCATCTCGCTCCCATGTCGGAAGTGCAGGAGAAGTCCACGTTGGATACATGTTCTCCACGTGAAGTGATTGAATGATCCTTTGAACAACGGGGTCCTTCCAGTTCGCGTGTCGCTCGCGAAGCTGCCGAGTAACATCCGCCATGTCTAGGGTTTTGCGGTCTGGGCATTCTTCAATCTCGTAGGTAGACCACCAAGCGAGTGATTCCCCGGGCTCAGAAACGTGATATGGCGAGTCGCGATTAACAGCAGACTTTTCGCTCTCAGAGTAGAAATAACCGAAGAAGCCATTGCCACCGAATATGAAGTTCATCGATCCTTTTTCGACAAGTCCTTTGACATCGGCTGCAGGAATGAATCCACCGACACCAACGAGACCCCTTCGGCAAAGGTGAGCAATGAATTTACTCTAAAGACCGTTGGAAAGGGGGGAATAAGAAGGGCTCACTTACTCATAATGGGGAGGATATGGGTCTTCTTTTGCATGTGGGAAGAGGGCCCGCTTGGCGGTACTCTGGACACCGTCTGCACCGATGACCAGATCTGCTTCCACCGAGGGAGTGCCGTCGGCAAAGTAAATCAGATTTTTCCCTTCGGGGCTGGCAATCACTTCCGATATTCTTTTGTTGATAATGTGCTCGTCTGGAATCCTTGATCGCAGCGCCTGCCAGAAGAAATGACGGCTAGTCGCCACCATGTACATATGTTCAGGATTGTCAACGTCGTTATCTGATGGAGCTGTTTCCATTGTGACAAGCCGCCATCCATTTTTATTTTTCATATTGGAGGTGGCTGTGACATACCCACCGCGAACAACGTCCTTCAACAAATTCTCATCAAGGCGCCTGAGAACATTCAGCCCGTTGGGGCCAACGGCGAGTCCACCTCCAACGAGAAGGGTCGAAGACTGTGTGTATTCCTCCTTTCTTTGATCCGCTGTCACATCCAGGTTTGCGCTGTATGCCTCATAGATAATGATCTCATGCGCTTCATCAGACCCAGAAGGGTTTGGAAGATGCTTTCGCAACTCCAGATACGCTGCACATCCAGCGATGCCAGCTCCGATGATAATAATCTTCATTGTTATAGCCCAGGTAGTAACACGGGTTCGAAATAGAAGAAGGCAATCGAGATTCAAGAGCTGTGAAAGAGCAGTTCCAAGCCAAGGTCTTATAACACCGAATAGAGTTCAAGCATTATGCGGGTCCGCAAAGCTAGCCTGATATGGCCTAGCGCAATGATTAAGTTGTTGGTCCATAGGTCTGGATCACGGGACTTGCAAGCTTGCTCCACTTATGCAACAATAGATCTCGCGTAATGTCAATTTGATGGATCCCGCATCTTCTTAGATGTTGCCACATAGTGATCAAATATGTAGGACGCCACATGCGCAAATAATTCTTTGGATCTTGCTGAAGAGCCCATTGGTTCGTTGTCGTCGCTCTTTTCATAAGCATTTTCCGGGATGGGAGGATTCCAAATTCTCATGATCCTTAAAGGAAATCCCAACATTAGCGATCCACGGCCAGAAGATGGGCCTGGAACTGCTGCAATGAATTCTTTGGCTGACAAGATTGACTGCGCATGTCGCTGGATGCGTTCCTCGTATAGATAGGCAGATGTTGATGACAGGAAAAGAAGCCGAAGGGCTATCAGATTTGCAGAGTCATACACCGAGCCCAGAGCAGCTGTAGGCATATCTGTGTGAATCAGCAGAGGGAAATGACTGGGGTTGTATGGGTCTTCATTTGTATGCTTTTTGTTGGCGTTCATCCATTCGTTTGCAGGTGCTTCCACTGGACTCGGCATGGAGATACATTGCGACCACCATTTGTAGAGTTGGAATATCATGTCCAGCACCATGGTGTTCAGCCTTTCCTGCAGCCAGTCGTCCGTATCGGTTGTTGCTGTTATAATCTTGTCTGCGACTGAAAGGCACGGGAGTAAACGGAATAGAATATCGATAAGCTCGTCAAATGCTGTTTTTGGATGTATCTGAAAAGGTATGTTTGTCCATTCAGGTAACGCAAAGGCATGCTGCTCATTGCGATATATTGAGGCAACAAACTTTAAGTCGGGACCTTCAGTTAGCAAACCATCGCAAAGGCAGAAGGAACGTTTAAGCCCACTGTTAGAAGTCTGAGATGACGAAAAAGCTGGTGCAAAAACCCGTCGCGGCAACTTTCGGGCCCACCTGCCTCAAGCATCTTCGATGCACCCTTGACATGCTGAACCCAGGCGTCTTCGGATGTACCAGCGAGATGCTCGAAGTGGATAAGCATTACAGCAGCACATATCACATCACCAGTGAAGTGGGAAGAGGCTTGTGATAGTAGGCCATGTAAGCCCCGTAGGGCCCTTGAGTACCATTTGCATGCTTCTGCTTGAATGGAAGGATCCTGTGATAAAGTGCCATAGAAAAACATGGAACTTGCTCGAATGGAATCTTGTACCAGACTCATCTTGGGTGCAACGGTGAAAACAACAAGCTCATCCAGCCAGGTCGGCGGTTGTCTAGTAGATACCGGTGCTTTGAACCCAAATGATTCAATAAAATGGGACACAAACAGACGATCAAATATATTAGCGCGACTCGGTTGGTAACCAGTTAGAGGCGAAGAGCGCCAGAGTTTATTAAATTCCAGAAGGTTGTTCCTGGAAACCTGCTGAGAAACATGCTGAAACATTTGGTCAAGTGATGTTGGCATAGCAATAGAGCTCGTTCGTGGTTCGGTTGGCGCAGAGTGAACGAAGAATGCACCTCTTCGAGCACCTGAACAGCGCAGACCCTTCTTCGCGCATGATATACATCGTGGAAAGGCTTCATCGCACTGGAAGGAGATATAGTTAGGTTCAACGGAACATACTTTGGTTTGGAAGAAAACACCTTTACTTTGCGCTGACGACATTCGTAGCAGCCCTTGCTTCTGCCTGAAACGTTCACCATGTTGCACCTAGCACAGGGAATGTCGCACAGGTCGCATTGAAGGCAATGTGAATTATTTATGCTGTGGGTCAAGGGGTGGTAGTAGACGAAGTCGAATCCGAGATCTTGGTCCAGGACGCGGTGTTCATAACGTAATCCGCGTATGAACCCGAGTCCGCCACTCGAGGCATCACCTTTTGACCTTATATCCCCATTGGAGATTTGCGTAGTCGCCTTCTGTGGTAGCAGCGCTTAGTACATAGAAACCATCGTACTTACGTCTAATTAAGACTATGCTCACAATTCACGGCAAATTCTATGGCGAAAGGGAATGACTGTAGAAAAACAGGACAATAGAACATCCACATTAATGAGAGCTTCATATCGACATCAACAAATGAAACCTAGTATAGCTGCAAGAATGCATCTTTTCAATGTCTGATTACACGCATAAAGTAAAATTCAACAGCAGGCATAACCATCTTCGCTATCCATTCAATACTCATCTTACATCAAAACGCAGCATGAGTTCTGCTTCTTGGCCTAGATTCATCAAATTAGTAGAGATCCAAGAATGCATAGTTTTGAGGCACAAACCTGGGTATAGAACATCTTGCTCTGGGCTGACAGTCCATCACTCTTGGCAACCAACGAATCAATCTTTTCCCCGCGCTCCAGAACACTCTCGATCTAGAGGATATTAGACTGACGGAAAGCTATCCATATGGATGGGAGCATACCGTCTTGTGGAGGACAATTTTGGTCTCATCAAGCTCCTGCTGGATCTTCATGATGCTGTCTGCCTGGGTGGGATCCTGGTACTTGATGATGTATTCCTTAAGAGCTGGCAGAGGGCAAGCATTCTCGCGGAGAGCAGGATCCGAGAATGAGGTCCGAGGGTGCTTGGCGAGGAATTCATCCACAATCTTGCCAAGAAGTTGGTGGGCGACCAAGGCAGGATAGTCACCATCGGTAACGATGATACCGGCAACACCCTCTGTGCGACCGTAGGCGTGGAATGTGTAGGCCTTCTCCTCAATATCCTGTCGTTGTCCGGCCTTTGTCTTCTCTGCGACGGTTCGGTTGAAGAGCATCAAGAATTCATCGTAGCTGGTGGCGTGGTGGAGTTAGTGACATGTACGTTTCGGGCCGAGTGAGACTGGCGAACCTACTTCTGACGAGTAAAGCGCGAAAAGCTGTGTGTTATTAGTAAATGTTCTGTACACTGTGCGGAAGGCTGTGAATGACATACCTGCTGAGGTCCTTTTCCCCGCATAGTTGAAGAGCCGGAGTGGTATCATTCCGGAAAACCTGTTAAGTATAAGCGTCAGCACTACATGAAGCCTTCTATTGACAAATACAAGACTGTGAACTGAGACATACGCCCATGTAAAGGATCTTCATTGTGACTTCGAAGATCAGTCGACCACAAAAGAATAGGGAGGCAAGTGAGGTGTCGGCGATGGTGGGGCCTTAAGGCGTAGCTATTTATCGGACGGTGACCTGATATCGCAAGGCCAGGCAGAGGGGAGCACAAAGTCAGCGGTGAAGTTGGAAGTGGCGAAGCAAGGTGAGTGAGCTTGAAACAGGGTCCCTGAGTCCGATAACAATGATGCGCCCTCCGCATTGTCGCCTCAGGCCTGAGCTGTACACCGCTCTTGTCATGCGACCGGCCAAGCCCTGCGGCTCTGCCCTATGTCTACTTTTGGCTTCTCCCCTCATTCTCCGTTGCTTTTGTCTCTGGCAAAACAAAACATCAGTTCGTCCTTCACCATGGATAATATCTTGGCCACCGAGTCGCAATGGCTGTCGCAGTTGGCAGCCATGCGCCAGGCCATCGCGGACCTGAAGCTCCCCCAAGAGCTTCCCCAAGAATCGATCGGCTATGGAAGTGATATTGATCTGGATATTGACGACGACTATTCCTCACCCGGAACAATCGATGACGTGTGGGATATAATCAGCTCGGACGATGAAACCTTTGACGACTTGGATGAGCTCGACAGGTTCGACGAATTCCTTATCGAACAAGAATCCCCCTACAACCGATCATGGCTGGAAGATAAGTGCCAGGACTTGGCCATTCGAAACTCGAGCATGGATGCGACAGAGTTATGCCAGCAAATCATCACCACCTTGGCTGCCGACAGCGACGACGAGGAACTACAAATGTCTCTCGCTGAAATTGTTGGATTCGATGATCTGGATCTGGTTATTGAACTTATTGCTCACAGAGGGGAGGTCTTGTCCGACAAAGGACCCCGCTTGGAATCGCAGACAGATGGACTTATGGCTGGAAGGCTTCAAACTAGAGCGGAGAGAGAACATGCATTGCGCCAACGCGACTTTGAACATAAGAACGCGGCGTTGATGCCAGCGCAGAGCCGGTCAGAGCCTGCCTACCCACATGTTTTCAAACAGCACACTTCTGGGAATCTTCTTTCTGCCAGTGGCAAGAAATACGGGCTGCCTCTGGGTAGCAAGCAGATTGAAGAACCGAAGTACACCGAGTTCGAGATCCCAGCTACGAAAGTCGGAACCCTAGGAAAAGGCCAGAAATTGGTTGAAATTGCTAGCATGGATGGCCTGTGTCGCGGCACTTTCAAGGGTTACAAAACTCTGAATCGCATGCAGAGCTTGCTCTACGATGTCGCGTACAAAACCAACGAGAACATGCTGATTTGTGCTCCCACCGGTGCGGGTAAGACTGATGCCGCCATGTTGACTGTTCTCAGCGCCGTTGGAAAGAACACCTCTCCAAATCCCCTGGAAGACCCTGAAGCAACTGAGTTCACGGTTCGAGTTGACGACTTCAAAATTGTCTACGTGGCTCCGATGAAGGCTTTGGCCGCCGAAGTGACAGAGAAGCTAGGAAAGCGGCTAGCCTGGCTGGGTATCAACGTCCGCGAACTGACTGGTGATATGCAGTTGACCAAGCGGGAGATTGTTGATACCCAGATCATTGTCACCACCCCTGAGAAATGGGATGTCGTGACACGGAAAAGTACCGGAGACACCGAACTTGTCCAGAAGGTTCGCCTGCTCATCATTGACGAAGTTCACATGCTGCACGACGAGCGAGGAGCGGTCATTGAATCTTTGGTCGCTCGTACCCAACGTCAGGTGGAAAGCACGCAGTCATTGATTCGTATCGTCGGTCTGTCAGCTACGCTTCCGAATTACACTGATGTTGCGGACTTCTTGAAAGTGAACAAGATGGCGGGCATGTTCTTCTTCGACTCCTCATTCCGACCAGTGCCTTTGGAGCAACACTTCATCGGTGTCAAAGGGAAGCCAGGCTCTAAGCAGTCCCGTGAGAACATTGATGGTGTAGCTTACGAAAAGGTTCGCGACATGTTAGAGAGAGGTCATCAAGTGATGGTCTTCGTGCATTCCCGTAAGGATACCGTCATGACTGCCAGGATGCTCAAGCAGCTGGCTGCCGAGGAAGGCCGTGAAGACTTGTTCAGCTGCCATGATCACGAAAACTATTCCAACGCCCTTCGTGACATGAAACATGCGAAGGCGCGCGAATTGCGAGACCTGTTTGCGAGTGGCTTTGGAACGCATCATGCAGGAATGACCCGCAGTGATCGGAACTTGATGGAGCGAATGTTCTCGGATGGTCTGATCAAGGTTCTTTGCTGTACTGCGACATTGGCATGGGGTGTCAACCTTCCAGCTGCCGCTGTGGTCATCAAGGGTACCCAGTTGTATAATCCCCAAGAGGGCAAATTCATCGACCTGAGTATTCTCGATGTCATGCAGATCTTTGGTCGTGCAGGTCGTCCCCAGTTCCAAGATACTGGTATCGGTTTTATTTGTACTACTCACGACAAGCTAAATCACTATCTCTCTGCCGTCACTGCGCAACAGCCAATCGAATCTCGCTTCTCCAGTCGGCTGGTGGATAACTTGAACGCTGAAATCTCGCTCGGAACTGTCACGTCTGTTCCTGAGGCAGTGCAGTGGCTCGGCTACTCATACCTCTTTGTGCGTATGAAACGTGAGCCACGCAACTATGGAATCGAGTATGCCGAGCTACGCGATGACCCGATGTTGGTCCAAAGACGTCGGCAGTTGATTATCCAAGCTGCGCAGGTGCTGCAGAAGAGCCAGATGATCATCTTCAACGAGAAGACGGAAGATCTCAAAGCCAAGGATGTCGGTCGCATTGCAAGTCAATATTACGTTCTGCAGAGCAGTGTCGAGATCTTCAACGATATGATGCGTCCGCGATCTGGCGAAGCAGACGTGCTCAAGATGATCAGTATGAGTGGTGAATTTGACAACATTCAATCCCGAGACAGCGAGTCGAAGGAGTTGCAGAGACTAAGAGATGAAGTTGCACAAACTGAAGTGGCCGGTGGAAACGATACACCACATGCGAAGACGAATCTCCTATTGCAGTCTTACATCTCTCGTGCCAAGATCGAGGACTTTGCTTTGGCATCGGACACTGGCTATGTTGCACAGAATGCGGCACGTATCTGTCGTGCGCTTTTCATGATTGCACTGAATCGTCGCTGGGGTTATCAATGCCAGGTTCTCCTGTCTCTTTGTAAATCGATTGAGAAGCAGATTTGGCCATTTGATCACCCATTCAGGCAGTTTGATTTGCCTCAGCCTGTCCTTCGAAACCTCGACGACAAGCTGCCTGCTACCTCAATCGAATCTATGAGAGAAATGGAGCCTGCTGAGATTGGGCAGCTTGTTCACAACCACCGAATGGGGAACACATTGTCCAAGCTATTGGACAACTTTCCTACTCTTAGCGTCGAAACTGAGATCGCTCCTCTTAATCGAGACGTTCTTCGTATTCGGCTGTCCATCTATCCAGAGTTCACTTGGAACGACCGTCACCATGGCGCGTCCGAGTCCTTCTGGGTCTGGGTGGAAAACTCCGAAACATCGGAAATTTACCACCATGAGTATTTCATCCTCAGCCGGAAGAAGCTTTACGATGACCATGAACTCAACTTTACCATTCCGCTCTCTGATCCACTGCCGAGCCAAATCTACATTCGTCTGATTTCTGACCGTTGGCTCGGTGCTGAGACTGTTACCCCGGTTTCATTCCAGCATTTGATTCGCCCAGACACAGAGAGTGTGTATACGGACCTCCTCAACCTTCAGCCACTGCCTGTTTCGGCTCTGAAGAACCCCATCCTGGAAGAACTGTATGGGCAGCGTTTCCAGTTCTTCAACCCAATGCAAACGCAAATCTTCCATCTACTATACCACACACCGGCCAATGTTCTCCTTGGCTCTCCTACTGGTAGTGGAAAGACTGTGGCAGCCGAGTTGGCCATGTGGTGGGCCTTCCGCGAGAAACCTGGCTCCAAGGTTGTTTACATTGCACCTATGAAAGCCCTTGTCCGTGAGCGTGTTCAGGATTGGCGCAAACGTCTCACTGGACCCATGGGCTTGAAGCTTGTCGAGTTGACTGGTGATAACACACCTGATACCCGCACTATCCGCGATGCCGATATCATTATCACCACGCCTGAGAAGTGGGACGGTATCTCGCGTAGTTGGCAGACCCGTGACTACGTCAGGAAGGTCAGCCTTGTCATCATTGACGAAATCCACCTGCTGGGTGGAGACCGTGGCCCAATTTTGGAGATCATTGTCTCCCGAATGAACTACATTGCGTCTCAATCTAAGGGGTCCGTTCGCCTCATGGGCATGTCCACTGCGTGTGCAAATGCCAGTGATTTGGCCAATTGGCTTGGTGTCAAAGAGGGTTTGTACAACTTCCGCCATTCAGTTCGTCCTGTGCCCCTCGAAATCTTCATCGATGGATTCCCCGAGCAGCGTGGTTTCTGTCCTCTCATGCAGTCAATGAACCGCCCAACATTCCTGGCGATCAAGAACCACTCGCCAGAGAAACCGGTTATTGTCTTTGTTGCTTCCCGTCGACAGACCCGTCTCACTGCCAAGGATCTGATCAATTACTGTGGTATGGAGGACAACCCTCGTCGCTTCGTGCGCATGTCCGAAGACGACCTTGAGCTGAACCTTGCACGAGTGAAAGACGACGCTCTGAGAGAAGCTCTCAACTTTGGCATTGGCTTGCATCACGCTGGTCTAGTCGAGTCCGACCGTCAGCTAGCAGAGGAACTCTTTGCCAACAACAAGATCCAGATCCTCGTTGCTACCAGCACCCTTGCGTGGGGTGTTAACCTTCCCGCGCATCTCGTCGTTGTCAAGGGCACACAGTTCTTCGACGCAAAGATTGAAGGCTATCGTGACATGGACTTGACTGATGTCCTGCAAATGCTGGGTCGCGCCGGTCGTCCACAGTTCGATACTTCCGGTATCGCACGCATCTTCACGCAGGACTCCAAGAAAGCTTTCTATAAGCACTTCCTTCACACTGGTTTCCCGGTGGAGTCGACCTTGCACAAGGTTCTTGACAACCATTTGGGTGCGGAGGTGTCCGCTGGCACTATCGGTACGCAACAGGATGCATTGGATTACTTGACCTGGACTTTCTTCTTCCGTCGCCTGCACAAGAATCCATCTTATTACGGTCTGGAGATCTCGGCTGAGGAGCAGAACACCATGGCAGCACAGGCCACTGCGCAAGAGTTCATGATAGAGCTTGTTGGGAAGTCGCTTAACGATCTCGCTGAGTCGTCCTGTGTTCTTGTGGACTCCGCCACTGGTGAAGTCGATTCTACGCCCTTTGGCAAGATCATGAGTTACTACTATCTATCCCACAAGACGATTCGGTATCTCATGTCCCACGCCAAGCGTGATCCGACCTTCCAAGACGTCCTGAGCTGGATGTGTTCTGCAACTGAATTTGACGAACTGCCCGTCCGTCACAACGAAGATCTGATCAACGCTGAACTAGCTCAGAACTTGCCCCTGTCAATCGACTGTATGGGCGACGTGCCTCTGTGGGATCCGCATACGAAGGCCTTCTTGCTCCTGCAAGCATACATGTCACGCATTGACCTTCCAATCACGGATTACGTTGGTGACCAGACATCTGTGCTCGACCAAGGCATCCGTATCATCCAGGCATCCATCGACGTCATGGCCGAGCTCGGCTATCTTCCCGCTTGTCAGATGCTGATGACACTGCTTCAATGTATTAAGTCAGCTCGCTGGCCAGAAGACCACCCGCTCTCCATCATGCCGGGCGTTGGTACTGAGAAGCCACCACAAGGTCTCCCAGGCACTCTAGTCTCGCTCTCGTCGCAGCCCACCGGCGCAGTTGTCGCTCTGGTCAAGAAATTGCAGCTCCCATTCAACTTCACTCGTGCTGCTTCCCAACTTCCCCAGCTTTCTGTCTCAGTCTCGAGTGTTTCTGAAAGGGGTATGACCGTGTCACTGGTACGACGCAACGCCCCCACAACCCCCGAATGCAGAATCTACGCACCTCGCTTCCCTAAGCCGCAGACCGAAGGTTTCTTCTTGATTGTCTGCAGCGCGACACCGAATGGCGGCGATGGTGAACTCCTTGGACTAAAGCGTGTATCCTGGCCTCCAGTCGCCAAGCGCAATGGAAACGGAAATGGCAAGGACAACTCCGGTGCTGGATCCAGTCGCGGTGGACCTTCTAACGACAAGAACAAGAGTGGATTGACTGTTCGCTCTTCTGTCAAATTCCCCGAAGGCATTCTCGCACAATCCTCCTCGGCTACAACTGCCAACAAAGCCCGCGTCAATATCAAGGTCATTAGTGACTCGTACGTTGGAATGGTCTGGGCAGTCTCCAATGTGGAAGTCGATCTTGACAGTGGCATCGAGACTCAGCTCGTTACAGAGTCAAGCGTTCCTACAAAGGAATGAGAACATATCATAGAAACTCATGATCAAAGCACATATCAAACTCTATGTACATAAATGCATTAAATTCCATGGTCAAGAGAAACATTAAACCACTTCCTCAGAGCCATAAACCTCCCTTCATCACCCTCAAAAGAATCAACAATCCTAGTCCTCCCACCCATGTTCAACTTCACAACATTATTGACCATCATAACCTTCCCAACCACAAAAACATCACCATCTCCCACAACCCCGTCCCCCTCAAAAATGCTCAGCCCCCTATCCTCCCCATTCCTCAAAAACCTCACAACAACAAAACTCCTCTTCTGCACCGCATCCCAACTAGTAAACCGATTCATAACCTCAAAATCATCCTGGAAAAACTCCAACTCCGCGAACGAATAGAAAGAATTCCACGGCTTCTCAACACCATTGCGATACTGATAGATCCACACTTTCTGCTCTGGCCTCGTCTGCTTCGGCATGGTATCGTATATCAGACGGACTTGCTGTGGCCCTAGATTCTGTGTGATTTGTCCCGGTATCAGGGGTAGTGGGCTTGTTGCTCCGTCTCCGCCGAATGCTGCGTCGACGTGGTATTCTTGGCCTGTTGGGAGGCGGGTTATGTTTATTATGTGTGTCCTAGTATAGTTAGTACCAACGTCAAAACCAATGTCGGTTTCGAACCCAATATATGCTGTGGTTTGTTCTTTTTTGTCTGATTGTTCTTACCATCCTTTAAACTCCCCCTGTGGTATCCCATCGACCCTCTCCCGGTTCCGGACTCCAGTCATATAAACGGAAAACCCCAGACCGCGGAGTATATGATGGAAGAAGATGCTAACTTCGAGACAGTATCCTCCTCTACCGGACGGAACAGTATCTCCATGGCCCATGAGTTTGGTGTAGATTCTCTCGGGCTGGATCTGTGCTAATTGCGTGGCGGAGTAGTGGCATGTTAGATTGTCGTATGGGAAACGCGTGATCTGGCACCGGAAAAGGTCTTTCAATGCTTGTTCTGTTTTGGGGAAGGCTTGGGGGTTGGTGAGGTATACTGTGTATCTTTCTGGGAGGCCGATGTAGTGTATGTATTTTGTTATTTGCGTTTGTGTGTAGGCTGATGGTGGGTTTGGGGTTTCCATTTTGTTCGTCTGTAGACAGAGAACATGCGAATTGCATCGACGGTTTATGCGGTTCTATTTAAATGTTGGGTTGATTTGCGACCTTGCTGTGTGACTCATTTGTTGACATGTTTTAACCAGGAAGGTTGTAGCGCTAAGTCGAGGTTGGCTTCGATGTATGGAATTGAGTTTGTAAGGATTCATTATTAGAGCTAAATTATGACAAGGATTCGGGATGATTGGCTGCTGTTCGTTCTCTCTCTCTTCTGGAACAGGTATGTGCATCCGAGATGTAGTTATATAAACCACCACCACTCGGACCAAATGATAGTGCTTGACATAAAGATCATACATATGCGATATTAGATAGATATATACAAACAGAATTGTTAAAGCTGAAAAGGAGATATGCACAAGGAATGGAGTATGCCAAAGGGGAATCAGAATATAAGCAAGAAAAATAACAGAGAAAAGGAAGATAAGAGGAAGGGCAAAAAAAGAAAAGAATAAGAAATGTAAAAGAATGACACATGCAAAAATCAAAAAGACTCGATTCGCAATTCCTGCGACACACCAGGCCGATGACCCCGATGAGCATCCATAATCTGCGGCGTCAAGACTCTCCTCTGCACAAACCTCTCATCAGGATCGAAATGTTCAACCTTGGCCCCGATAGGAACAAGCATCTGGCGCTTTCCCCTAGAAACCGATATCGAGCGAGCAATCGAGACCTCAACTTGCGGAATTGCCCGAGGTGGTTCCTGCTCTGACTCGGGCTCTTCATTTTCATTGATTTCAATGGCACCATCGGCATCCGCAAAGGGCAGGCGCGTGGAATCTGCTGGGGAAATGCCCAATCTCGTCGCTGGAGAGGCTGAAGCTGGGGACATGATTCGGTCGATCTTCTGGTGGGTGGCATTTAGTGTTGATGGTGGGCTTAGAGATGTGCCGCTTGTGGTATTGTCTTTGGCTGGGGGTTGTGGTCGAGCTTCAGTTTGGACTCTGAGACGTGGTCGGGCCGGGTGGTCTTGTTTGTGGTTGTCTGGTCTGTGGTCGACACGGTGATGTGTGCTCTGCTTCTGTGGCGAGGCAACCTGGGGTGGCTTTTGACCTGTCTGCGGTTGAGAGTCTTTTCTTGGTGGATGTGTAATCTTCCATGGCTGTTGATCCTGGCTTGGAGCAACAGGGTGAGTACTGTTTTGCTGTTTTGCGAACGAGTTTGATCGAGACTTCTGCGGCGACAGAATGTTCTTCGGTGGTTGAACAATTCGCTGCTGGTGGGAAGCCTGTGGCTCATGCTTGATTGCGGGAAGAGGTTTATCTAGGCTACTAGATGACCGCGGGGTATTTGAACTCGAGCGCTCATTTAGTCTCGGGATGACAGGTGATTCAAATAAAGATGTGCTGTTAATGTTCGAGCTGTTGCGAGAGTGGTTTGCCGATGCCTTAGACGGACTTTCGACTGGCAACGTATTGGACCTGATTAGAGGGCCTGGGCCGCGAGAGAAGTTCTGCGTGCCGAGTAACCGAGCCGCCTTGGACGGCTGTGAGCTTGGGAATAAGGTGAAGCTAGATCTCGCGGGCGACGTTGCCCGGCGTTGTGGCATTGGAGGTGGCGCAGGCGCTTTCAGAAATCCCTATATCATATCAGTAAGTTCTATATCAAGACATATTTTCGGATAAGCCCTACATTTGCGTCCGGGACACGGAGATTGTCCAATGTCTTTGCCCTTCTGGCCAGCAGCGAAGGTCTCTCGTTCTTGTTGACAACGTCGCTGAACATGACACTATATCGCTCCATTTGGATATCCGGGATGTCGACACTCAGCAAGGGCCTTTGAATGGGTGGTTCCTCTGGAGGCGCTTTCCTCCCGCTCAGTGAAAACTTCCGAGAACGTGGAGGGCTTTGATTAACGCCGCCCATGATTGCCTTAGGGTCTACCTCAAAAGCCGGCCACTCTTCCAAAGAATTATTTCTTTCCTTGGGCTTGTTGGACTTCTCGAGTTGCTGAGCCAAGCTTCCATGTAGTTGATTTGATGGCGATGAAAGTGCATTCTTTGCCTTGAACAGTCCCCCAATCTTCTTCCACTTGCTCGGTTTGTAAGCCTGGGGGCTTTGTGTCATTCGCTCTGGCTCGAAGATTGCTGTATCGAACCGAGGCGGCGGTAAAGGTTCATCTTGGTTGATCATGCGTGGGCTACCCAGTGCAACTCCTATCATATACTGCTCGGTCGGTCCGTTGCTAGATGGAATGACTTCATCCGGTGGCGATGTCACTTGAAAGTCGAAATTCGCACCAGGGCCTGGCGGTGGTCTTCTAAACCACCCCTCTACTGGAGAGGGCTGTCGGAAGTCCCATTGTCCAACAATTCCAGCCCGGGTTAGACGTTTTGAAGGTTGATCGTCAAGATCGCGAAGGTCATTCCGGGGCAAGGCGTCGCTATAGGTCAACACGGGAAATGATATAGTCTCGGTGGGCTGGGTGCGAGACGTGACTGTTGTCGTGCCTCTCGCCATCTCTTATGGGTATACTAGGATCCAGCCAGTATGCAATAGAAGATAAATAGTAAGAAGTATAACAAGTTCAGTCGATTAAAATAAGACCCCAGACCTTAATAGTAGGGAAGGAAAAGCCTTCCAGAAGGCGAAACAAAATCAAAGAAAACAAATAACGAAACAGCAGGAAAGACCGATATTAAAGAGAGCAATTAGCGGCAATAGAGTCAGGGTGGAGCCAACAATAACGACGGACTCTGTAGATGAGACAAATATCAGCCCAAGTACTTAATGTCGTGCCGAGCCCAGATTGGCGCACGATGCCACATCTGAAGCATGTCTAGTCTGGGGCCAAACCGGACCAACAAGCGATCAGAGACGGGATCAGAGACGGATCAGAGACAGGGTCAGGCCCACAGACAGGGCCAAATACCAGGGGCAGAGACCTGACAGTCAGACGCCGCAAAAATCTCTAGAATTCGAGGGGCGCCTCAGCGCTAACATCGTTAGCATCGGGGGCTCGTGTGTGATGCTTATTTCGCCCCAGACGAATGGGCGTGTTCCGTCGCGGATTGGTTAGCTCGCTAATACGTTGGCCGGAACCAACGAGAGCTCCGCATCGGCCGAAAGACGTGGGCGTGTTTCACTTATGAAACGACTGGTATGATTCAGGGGGCCTCAATATTGGGGCTGTTGCGCACAATGCATCAAATCTCTGTGGCTGCATTGGGCTGGTTTTGAGTTCCTTCAGCAGCCATTGCTCAGAGACAGGGACATTCAGCTGAAGACTTGACTCATGTCTGGGGGAACTCCAGGCTGTGTGATGCCAAGACTTACTCTAATGCCAATGAGTGTCTGTCTGCGCCTTGGCCCCCTATGTGGTGAGGTGAGTCCTGGAGCGGTATCGCGGCATCTCGTACCCCTTTGAGCTTTGAGAGGAGATTAAACTCTTAGCGAGGTCCTGTAAATCCACCTGCACATGATGAATGAGATGGATATTTTAAATTCCCAGGGATGAAGATCTTCCACGTGCCTGGGCACGTGTGATTCAGGCGCCCAGGCAGAAAGATCGACTGAAGCTACAGTTCATGTACGTACTATAGCTGACGTTATAGGGAACTATGCAGATGCAGGTCTTTATAGCTGTATGTCATGGTTTTCAATTTGCTCAAGCTGCTCAACTTAGCTTGGCTTTAGCTGTGGAGGTCTCTCCCACCGCTACTTTGTATACCTTACCGAGTCACCACCTTGCCTACAGAATCGTACATACAAATCCCTTGAAGATCAAAGCTGAAGATCAGTAAATACCGACAATGCAAGAACTGCCCTGTAGACTATCTTGGAATTAAGCATAACCATATGTTAGCCACAGTGTACATGTAAGAGACGGTTGATCGTCATATGGCGGGGCTCCTCTCCCGACCGCCAAACACCGTTTCCCCCCACTTCTCTCTTCTCCCACAAGCTCTCCTTTTCTGTATATTCGACTCAGCTGTGCCTCTCTCTCTCTGGTCTCTACTCTCTACCGCTGTCTAAACATTCCAGCGTTACTCTCTTAACCCCTACCCCCTTCACTATCATCATGGGTGCCCACTCAGAAGTTTGGCAAGGTATGAATCACCTATACATCCGACTCTCCTTCCACTCTGTTAACATTTCTATCTTCAATACAACAGGCTACGTCGACTCCAGGTACATTTCCACTCATTCTCACCCTGACATACACCTCAACATATTCCCATAACCCCTTCCGCGGACCTCAACGGGCCTCAACGGACCGCAATGGACCGATTCATCAACACGGTTTCCACGCGTGCAGTATGCTGACAACCTCGTTCTCACAGCCTCATGGGCTCGGGTCAATTCGACAAGGCCGGTATCCTCGCCGCTGACTTCTCCGGTCTCGAGGCCGCCTCCCCGGGCTTCACTGTAAGCTCCCAACACTCCCCCAATTCCTGTTGTGTCATGCGGGGTGGGGTCCCAGCATCGGAAGCAACGTCGCTAACACAACTGGCTCCCGATACAGCTCTCCCAGGAGGAAATCAACTCCCTGATCTCCGCCTACACCTCCAGCGACAACGCATTTGCCAACGGTATCTCCGTCGGCGGTGACAAGTTCGTTGTTATCAGGGCCGACGAGCGCAGTGTATACGGCAAGAAGGTATGACATTCAGCTTCTCCTTCTGCTTCTGGGTGCATACGCCAAATCCTAGGACGCGTGCTAATACATTCTTTTTTTTTTCCGTGCAGGGTAAGGAGGGCATCATCGTCGTCCGCGCCTCGGCGTGCACCATGATCGCTCACCACGGCGAAAGCGTCCAGACCACCAACGCCGCAACCGTCGTTGAGAACCTCGTCGACTACATCAACAACCCTCAATAGATTGTTTTTAAAAGCAGCACTGCTAGCAATGATAACTGAATGATATGATGAGAGAGAAAGGGGCTTGTGAAGAATAGGAATGAAGGAGCCTTTGAATATTCCCCAAACACACCACTCCACTTGCACTTGCTGGGTGACGAATCGCTTCTGAATGTTGCCGTTAATATTTCCTGGCTTTTACTGTATTTCTTTGCTTCTGTCTCGATGCGCCATGTTTGGTGTAGACGGGACCATGCACAGGCCATGGAGGTTCTACGCTGATCGTATGCGCAATGTAATTGTCTATCTCTAACATGCATATTAACTTATTTTCCAGCTGTTGGCTTTCAACGCTAGCGTTCACAGGGTCATTATTAATTACATAAAGCTTGAGTTGGCCGTAGTGTATCGTGTCATCCACGTCGCATGTACATGTACAATGTACTCGCACTCGTCCTCGGACATTGACTTCGTAGTCGACGGCGTACCAGTGTAAAGGCAAGTCGAGGTACCCAAGATAAATGCGGCGGGACATTAATCGCGGCCTAGTCCGAGTAGTGTAGTGACATGCACACACGGTTATACAGGGAGTTCGGCATTGCTCCTCCCACCAGCAAGAACCTCCAGACCGCGCTGGATATAAGGTCCGATAACAGGGATGTTGCCAGCGAATTGCCCGATGGTAACGAGGAAATCTCCGAAGAGAATGAACAGGCCGTACAATTCAATCAGGAACCCGGTCAATGGCCAGCGGAAGAGGATGAGGAGGATACCGGCGGCGAAGGCGGCTGTTCCCTTGAGTTTCTGGGGGCGGGTGAAGAAGATCAATGTTTTTTGGACGCCGATGATGAGGGTCAGGCCGATCAGGAAGAGGATCTAGGGATTGTTAGTGGCGTTCGTGTGTGTTCGGGTGGATAGTGTGGCGTACATTTCCCATGGCGAGTCTGTTGAGCAGGTTATGTTAGTGAACAGTTCGTCTTGTAGTATAGCATGTAGGGAAATAGACGTACAATGACCGGTCGAAGAACATCAACACTCCTCCAAAGAAGAACAATCCTCCTGATCTGTTGTTAGCTTTTGGTCTTGTTGGTTTGTTTGGCACGCGACACTCGTACCTGCTGAACAGAAGATCACACCGATCTCTGAGAGATAGATTAGCAAGTATTCTCTCTTTTGCCATATGTATATTTCTGACGAAATAGACATTGGAACAAGGATAGCGACAAATGCGACTGACTCTGGTTCTCTGTTAACCACATGCTAGGCATCTTTGATATCGGCTGGACTGTCGAAATTACGTGGCACTAAGTGGTGCGCAAATCGTCTTGGTAAAATAATGTGGGGCTTGCGACAATTGTCACCGGCGTTTAACAGATTCAGATCGTATTTGTTGGTTGTAGATTAGGGGCAGGAGAAGATGCCAGGCAGACGTTTGCGGTAGGACAAAAGCGGTTGGCGTGTTGGCGAGGTTCGTATGGTGGAAAAGAACGAGTTCTTCAGATGCCGCAGGCGATATCTGAACAAGACAATCCTTTTCAGCTCGTTCTGCAAGATTTGGGAAATAATCACAGGCGCAGGTAAACACAGGCAGTGCGACGCTCAAATCGCCATTTTCTGCCCGCGCCAAGGCCCAGGACGGCAGGCGGTGATAGCTGGGGCCCTTTTGTCGCTGATCGAACTGTCGAGTTTTCTCTTCCTCATCGTGTCTTCGAAATCAGACAGGCTTGCAATTGAGTCTCTAATGATGTGATTCTTTTATGTGCGCAGCTTGCATTGATTTAATTATTCAATCTAACTCCACAACTCGACATAATGTCCATTAAAGGCAGAGATGAAACCGATACTCTCATCTTCCTACCATAGCCCATACCCCCCCAATTGCACATACTATATGCAATTATTACATGCCACGCCACGACGACAGTCTCTTCGGATTCTGTAACTGGTACCCTATCCCATGGGGTGTCGGTAATAGTCGAGTGCTCTGCACAAGGCGAAGATCGACTCATTTGATCACGAATAAGCCGGAGCGCTTTCTTGAACCTGTCTCGAGAGGGGCACGGTGGGGTGGAAAGGGCTTGACTGTGTTGGTCGTACATAACATTTCGTAGCGACTTGTCGTTTCTCGTATCTAGTTCAATTGATTAGCTAGGATCGGATATTGCGTCTTCTCTAACGTACCCGTATTTGGATGGTTGTTCGTTTAGAAATTGACTGATTGGTATACCACTCCATTACTTCAGGATGGTGTGAGCTCCACGGGCCTCGAGGTAGTTCTCGGGAACACCCTGTGCCAGAGACCGGATCACCTTGTAGATCTCCTTATCGTGATACCGCAGGCGGGTCTTGGGATCCGTGTAGGGTCCCTTCAGTCCTGTGATGTCGCAGTAATGCTGTTGGTAGGCTGGATTCAGCGAGGGGGCCGACTCAATGTTCGTGTAGGTCACAGCAGGCCCGCTTGGGAGTCCCGCCCGGGCGTTCCTTTCCAAGACGAGGGTCGACAGGTTCTGGGTAGCCTGGGAGAGGTTCGGTGTAACCACTTCGGCCGGGGTTTGCTCGCTATCGGTGGCGGATGTACCAAGGCCTGGTGTGGTTGCGCCCGAGTTGGCTTGAGTGGCCAACACTGAAGCTTCCTTTCGGGAAGCCTCAGAGACGATCTGCTTCACGTTCTTGTTGCGGCGCTGGGAGGGCTTCCAGTGTGGGTTGCGGAAGGGCTTAGGGCCAACTGAAATATCGAGGGTGTTCAACAGGCGCTGATGAGCTTCATCATTGGCGGGATTTGGGGGAGGCATGGTGACAGATGAAGGTGTTGGTCTGGTAAATTGAGATATCGGGTTGAGGAAGCTGTTGCGAAGCTAGCTTGTGGATGGTATTGTGTAGAATAACGGTGATTTGGTTAATAAAACTTTGACAGCTCTATATATGACGGTGCCTTCGTGATCACAGATGTACACGGTAAGTTACGGTGGAAGCATCCCGGGAAGTCTGTATAGCTGCACGTGACTGTATCCGTGATTCAAGCCCAAACAAACATTCTCACGTCTGCCATCAACACGCCATTTTGATTTCTGAGCCATGGTATGTGGTGTCTGCTTGATTGGACATAAAAGGGACTCTATACAGCTCGGGATGTTAACATATTTCTAGGAGAGTCCCCACGAGCACCAGCAGACCGTTCTGCTTTCTCGTATTATCACCAACGTTGTATGTCACAACCCCTCTGAGAGACGAGGCTGTACTAAACCCATGAGTAGGAGAAACTCAATGAATCCGTTATGGTCATGAACAAAGCGCTTCAGGTATGTCTTTTTGCCTTCATTATACAGTAATAGTACTAATCCAATGGCTATAGGAAGTGAACATCCAGAATATGAACGTCGAACTTGTCGCGCAGATGTTCAAAAACTACCAGTCTAATGTTCTCTTCCATTTAGAAGGTAATTTACAGCAATGCTATATGGCACGTCTTTACTAACATATCTGATAGCCACGGAGAACCTCAAAGACCCCTAGTGAGGGTGACTCTAGTAACGAAGAAATGCAAATAGTCAATGATACCAGTCTGATACTAACTTTCTATATTCATCTCATGTCGCAATTTTTATTCAAGTAGAGACGTAGAGGCGTGGAGATAGATGCACTGTATACACACCCGCCTTCCCTTGGCGGTCACTCGGCCAAACTTCAATCAACTGCGTTTGTCCCGTTTCGCGATCTTCCTCAATTACCCCGGCCACGGTCATTCTTTATATATTCATTCTCCCCCCTTCATTTCCTTTCTCGACTGCCATGCAGTGAACCCCTCTCCACAATTGATCCCGTTTCCCCGACTTTGATAGCTCCTGGTTTGCGGCCGGAGCCAAGCTGCCCGCCATGACGATTACCGCCATAAATAACCTCTTGCCCGCGCGGGTCACCGTCAATCCGACTGAAAAGCGATCCGAGAAGCCTCCTCCTCAGCTTCATAGCGTCCAAGAATGGCCCTTCAAGGGTTATCAACCTCCGCAGCCCGAGGGTTATCAGCAAAGCCACGCCCATCCCGACAGCGCCATCGTAATTGACAATGGTAAGCGCATTGATCTAGTCTATATGGGCAACTTATAACTAACACCCTGTTGCGCAGGCTCTCATCTAGTCAAGGCCGGTTGGTCTTTCGACAAGAACCCCAGATTCGCCATACCTCCCGTCATGAGCCGATACCGTGATCGCAAGCTCAACCGTCAATGCCAGTTCGTCGGATATGATGCCTACGTCGATGCGACGACACGAGGACAGCTGCGCTATGGTTTCGACCCCGGCTCCAGTGTGGTCGGTAACTGGGATGTGATGGAAGGCGTGCTGGACTACCTGTTCATGAAGCTCGGCGTGGACGGTTCTGATGGAGGCGTCGGTCGCCCGATCTTGATGACGGAGCCGATTGCGAATCTGGGATACCCCAGGAAGAGTATGTGTCATTAGGTATTGGTACGATGTGAATGTTACTAACGCACCTCCAGTGATGAACGAGATCCTCTTCGAATGCTACTCCGCGCCCTCGGTTGCCTACGGTATCGACTCGCTTTTCTCCTACCGCTATAACAACGGCACGGACGGTCTGATTGTGGACTCGTCGCATACTTCTACTCACGTCATTCCTGTTATGAACTCGAAACCTATGCTCTCGAACAGCTCTCGCCTCAATTGGGGTGGGCTGCAGAGCTCTGAATATCTCATGAAGCTCATGAAGCTCAAATACCCAACATTCCCGACCCGTTTGACCGATGCCCAGATGGAGGAACTGAAGCAGAAGCACTGTTATATCTCGCAGGACTATGCTAACGAGTTGAATGGGTACCTCGACTGGACCGGACTGGAGGACCGTGATCGCGTTATCCAATATCCCTTCACGGAGCAAGTTGTGCAGGAGAAGACAGAAGAACAGATCGCGCAGGCTCTAGAGCGCAAGAAGGAGGCTGGGCGGCGTCTGCAAGACCAGGCCGCAAAGATGCGCCTGGAAAAACTGGTGAAGAAGGAGGAAGAGCTTGAGTACTGGAAGCAACTGCAAGATAACCTCGCCTCGGAAACTAAGAAAGAAATTCGTCGCATCCTGGAAGCCGAAGATTTGAAGGACGAGGCCCAGCTGGAGCGAATGATTCGCGACCTGGAGAAATCCATCAAGCGTTCGCGCAACAAGGACCTCGGCATTGAAGAAACCGAAGAACAGCCTGAGGAAATGACATTCCCCCTGCTCGATATTCCAGACGACCAGCTTGATGAGGCTGGTCTGAAAGAGAAGCGCCACCAGCGTCTCATGAAGTCCAACGTCGATGCTCGAGCTCGTGCCAAGGAAGAGAAGGAGCGTGAAAAGGCTCGTCGGGAGGAGGTGGAGCGTCTTGACCGCGAGCAACGTGAGAACAACTTTGAGACCTGGGTTTCGCAGCGCCGAAACAATCGTCAGGTATGAGTGGACAACAACTACCTGTTACATTCATATGCTAACATCTATTAGATTATTCTACAAAGAATCAAGGATCGTGATCGCATGACAGCAGATCTGGGAAACCGCAAATCTCTGGCCAGCCAGATGCGCATGAAGACACTGGCCAACCTGGCATCCGACGGTCCCAAGAAGCGGCGCCGCGGTGGAGATGACGATGACTTTGGTGCCAATGACAACGATTGGAGTGTGTACCGCGACGTCGCAACAGGCGACCAAAGTGAGGATGAAGAAGAGGAGGATCTTGGCAGTATGCTGAATGCAGTCGAAAACGAGCTGCTCGAGTACGACCCCGACTTCACCGAAAACCACACTCTCGCCGCTCAGTCTGACTGGACCAAGAGTCTCGTCCACGCATTCCTCCGCGGACCTTGGCCATTTGACCCAGAGAGCCAGCGGGAGGCACACCAACTGCACCTCAACGTCGAGCGCATCCGCGTGCCGGAGGTTGTCTTCCAGCCCTCCATCGCCGGCGTTGACCAAGCCGGTCTTATCGAGATCGCAGCCGATATCATCAACCAGCGCTACTCTGACCCAGCCGATCAATCCCGTCTCCTGAAAGACGTGTTTTTGACTGGTGGAAACACCCTCTTCACTGGCTTTGATGAGCGCTTCCGCAAGGAATTCCGTGGGTTCCTCCCCATCGATGCCACACTCAATGTACGCAAAGCGACGGACCCGGTCTTCGATGCCTGGAAGGGTGCTGCGCAGTGGGCTTCTGGTGGCGATCTTGGCCGTTCCTCGGTAACCCGCCAGGAGTATATGGAGAAGGGTAGTGAGTACCTCAAGGAGCATGACCTCGGCAACGCTATGTGGTGAAGGTGAATGGTCAAATCACCTGGCGCACTGGAGTCCAATGTTTGTTTATCCGGCGTGGACTGGGGCTTGTTTATCTGGTATTTAGAAAATGTTAATGTAGAGCTCGGCAAAAGCATGCGAATTCCTAAGTCGCTTTTCTTCTATCTATTTTTCTCTATCCTTGATCTTCAGCTGTTTAGGGCAAGTGAATTATCAGCTCAGACTAATGTGAGTGGAATGGTTTCCACGTTTCCCCGTCTAACGTAGACTTGAAGATCTGTAGCTTTCAAGACATGTACAACGTAGAGGGAAAGCAAACAAGTGAACAATAGTATTAACTATTATCACATTGGTTCTTTATAGGTTCTGTTCTTAGTCTATGACTATGACATCCGCTCGCTCAGTGCAAGTTTACCTATAGCCGACCTTGGACATCACCCCAACAACTGACAATTGTGGGCATCACTCATTCCCGAAACAACCATAATCAATGTAATAGCAAGGGATGATTAATATTGACTCTCAGTAAGACAACCTCCTTACATCTACCAAACCCGATTAAAGTTGAACCAAGACATCCGCATGGTATCTGGGGTAGCCCGTGCCAAAAGATCGACAGAAAGTGAAGCCACAGACAAGCATGGCCCGACCAAAAGTACTTTCAATCTCGGCTAAGTCGGAAGGCTCTCGCAGCACAGTCCACAACATGATCGACGAGTGCGTCGCACGAGCGAATGCCATCTCCTGCAGCTATGGCACGATATCGTGTCGAGATCCAGTGGCATTCGATTACGATTTATAACCATCAAACAATCTGCCCAATACTTGTCTCGCTAATCATTGTGAGAAACTCGCTTCGTCCGTTTTACTAGTGTACAGTATGTCTGCTTCCAGGGATGCCACCATCCCTGGAATCGACCCGTTTCATTGCACAAACAAAACACAAAACCTTTAATAAGGCTGAAGCCACTGTCGATCATGGTCTATGCAGGGAGGACCCCGCTATTGGGTGCTAGCGCAGATGATAGTCTTAACTCTTTTCTGTGTCTTGTTGTTTTTTCTTGTTTTTAGCTTCGTCGCTAGTGCAAGGTGGTGTGATATACTTCGCCCTCCACCGACCCCATTGGCGAGTATTTAGTCAATCACAAGACTATGACCGCCTTGAAAGCAGATCTTCCGCAGACTACAGACGGCATTTTAGTTTCCTTGGCTCTATCTGCAATGATGCCAATTGATATGAGGTATCTCCTTGCGCACGAGGACATTATATGCCGATCCCTTACCAAGTTAGTATATCTATTCCTAGACATACATCGGCGAGAAAGCAGATTGAAGTGTGACATGTTGGTAATTTGGATAGCTACACAAAGCCGGAGAGATAGTAATTAGAGCACACTATTGCCAAATGAAGTGCCAAAGATACTAGTGAAGACTGGGAAGCTCGAAATTAAAAATCAGCCCAGGCAACGATATGTGGTATGATTCTGACTTCATGCAGAGACCGCCATGACGCATCTGGGGAAACGCCCGGATATCCCTCTCTGTTTCCTTGCCGGGCTTGACCAGGGCCAGACATTGAACCTTGTTGCATTGATCGCTTGTTTGTTTTTTTGTGTCTGTCTGCATGTTGCTGTGACCCACACCACTTCCACGATATATAAAGTCTTGTCTGGTCTTCGGTCTGGGACTTGATTCCTTTATTAGCTATTGTCGTACAAATCTGCCCTCATCTTGCATTACTTTCTAGCGGCCTATAACCACTTGCATATCACCTTCACATACAACATTGAACTTCCTTGAACTATACCGTCACAATGCTCTTCTCATCAGCTATCGCCCGGCCTTTGCAGCTGGTCACTCGTACCCTGCAGTGGATTAGCGCTGTCATTGTCATGGGCTTGACTTCATGGTTCATCAGCTACGGTCGTCCCCATGGCACACACATGCTCTACCAGGAGGTCATTGTAAGTGATATATCACACGCAAAGTCGCCATAACGAGCAAATTGACTGAGCTATTACCATACCAGGCCGTTCTCTCTGTCGTCTTCTTCATCCCCGCTTTCATCTCCCCATTCCTCCCATCGGCTTTGAGCAAGTTCGTGCTCCTGATCGACGTGGTCTTCTCCTACCTGTACGTATACACCTCCAATCCAGCCACAACGATAGGGCCATCCCAACAGAATCTAACATAAACCCTCTAGCTGGTTAACCGCCTTCATCTTCGCATCCCAAGACTACAACTCAAGATGGTGCTACTTCACCCTTCCATCAGGCATCGGCTGCCAATACAAAAAGGCTAACGAGGCATTCATCTTCCTTGCCTTGTAAGTGTTCCTTTTCTCCTGTCACTAAATGTATCCTGCACAAGTCACATAACTAACCCTCTCCTCTAGCATCTTCACCTTCTTCGGCATGTTCCTCGAAGTCGCCGCTCTCTGGGCCTACCGCAAAGAGACCAACCCTAACGCTCGCACCACTGCCGCCGAGGAGAAGATCGAGACTGGCACCCGTATGCCTCTTGATGCACCTGCCCCGGGTACTGGTCCGGCTCCTGGTGTTGCTACGACTACTCATGCTGGAGCTGTTTGAGAGGTTTTTTGTTGTTTGTTTACTAGCTATGTCTGTTGATATATAGCCTCTTAGTTTGGGTGGGAATGGCTTTGGGCTGGGTTGTAACGGGGCTGGGTTTTTAATATCTTGGTTTTCTTTCTTCTTCTGGATTGAACATATGGTGTTTTTGGGAGAGTTAGCTTGCTCGGTGAAGTTGACATATTGTTGGGGGGACTATCTATACTCGTCCCTGGTTGGGGCATTTTCTTTCGTTTTTAACATGATTTAGTATTATTCTAATAAGTGAATGATTCCATATTATTCCGAGTCTCTTGCGATATTTTATGTTAAAAGGATACAGTTTTCTCATACATGTCGTAAGACGCCATATATATAAACGAGCAAAACCTTCGGTTTTCAGCAATGCTAACTTATTCTATTAGTCTACCTAGTCATTTACAATAGACGCTAGATATACAGCAGAAAAACATAAGCAAAACACAATCGGTATCTCGTGCAATCAGAAAAGGTGACCAGCACCGGGGACAAAGCGAAACATATGCAGTGTTGAACGCCGCATACCCATACCAAATTGCCTCATCCGAATCATGCAGGGTTGAAAGGCAACCGTCAATCAATCAATCCAATCAGATACTGGCACGGCGAGGCGCCATGGTCCGCTGCAATTTGCGCTTTTCCTCTGTTTCCTCGGGAATAGGGAGCGAGCCTTCATTTCTCAAGGTGTCGAGGTACTCTTTGCCGAACTTGTAACCGACCTGGTAGATTTCGTCAAATTTGCCAAAGTCCAGAGTCCCGTATGGATCTATGGGCGGGCGCATGTACAAACATCCAGGCATGTTCTTGGCGCGCTCGAGATTGTCGATTGATGAGACGTAGGCCAGTCGAGCTTGGATTTCAGAGAGCGTTGGTGGGTTTGGAAGCGATGAGAAGGGATTCCAGCGGTTGAGCATTGACCAGAAGCCTGAAAGCGAGTCTCCATAGCCCTGGGGCGTGGTATCGTCGATTGATCCGACGTCAACTGCGAAAATGACATCTGCACCTAGACTCTTCATGTGTGCTACAGTCAGATTGTCAATGTAGCCGCCGTCCAGGAGCATACTGCCTTCATCGCAAATTGGAGGGATGAGACCTGCCAGTGACATTGACGCCCGGACATACCGCCAGACATAACCGGAGGAATGGTACTCAATTCGGGATCGACTGATGTTGGTTGTGTTGCAGTAAAATTCCAACCAGAAATCTTCAATCTGGCTATCTCCGAAGGTCTTGAAGATTCCACGATTGAACTCATGCCCTGTTGTGTACGATACAGTAGGGTAGGTCAGGTCCAGTGCAAACCGCCACATACTACCCATGCGGCCGGAGAATTTTTTTGCTCGTCCGTACATGGGCACAACATCAGCGTCACGCGCGTACAGAGCTCCAATGAAAGAACCGATCGACGTGCCACCGATGATGTCAATTGGGATTCCGGCCTCCTCAAGTGCCTTGATCACGCCGACCTGCGAGATACCACGTGCTCCTCCTCCTCCTAACACAAGACCAACGGATTTGCCGCACAGACGACGAGCCAGGCGATGGAAGTCGCCCTTGAACGGGGTTTGTGGGGAGTAGAGCGGCGTCTGCTGAGCACGACGAGAAGTGTACTTCTGAATCTCGGCTTGCAGAATCTGGACTCGCTGTTTGAGCACAGTGCCGAACTTTTTGGTTGGAGGGTGCGAGGGTTCGTTGGTTGAGCGGAACGCCATTTGGATGTGGTGATGGCCGCCATTGATCCAGACGCGGTTCTTGAGCCATTTCCGCGTCAGACCAGGTGAGCAGTACCGCTCCGCGTGCAAAAGCACCAGTTCTTTGCGAGCTGTGGTTTTCATGCCCAGTAGGAACCGTTCGTATTCGCCGATGGTCGGAGAGGACTCCGCAAGGCCCACCAAAAGGATGGAGTCGGCTTGCGCGATGCAGGTCTGAGTCCATGGTGCGTTTACATTGGTGTCAGCGATGTAGAGCACCATCCCATACTTCTCTTCAAGATCAGCCAGATATTGCGATAGTTTGAGCTTCCCCATTTTGCTGAAGGCATGGCGTCCCAGGTGATTCAGAATCGCAGCTTGGTTGAGGGATGTCACGCCACGGGTCACACCAATTTGGTGCAAAGCCTGGAGAAGCCGGTTGCCAAATTCAACGACGGGGACACCAGCCATTACAGGGAGAATAGCCACTGTGCGGAGGTTCATTGTTGAGGTAGCAGTCTGGACACCAGCAGTATGTCCTTGTTCCATACCCTTTTCAGACAGTGGGTGCTCAACTAAGTCACGCATTCGCTGGGCAATGAGCTTGGATACCTGAATTGTGATTCCCGGATGCTCCTGCGCAAGACTGTTGAACAGAGATCGAGGGAACTTGGCTAATTCGGTTTCCCGAATAGCGTGCAAGGTAGACGGTCTGGTAGACTCGGTCATAACCTCGAGTTCACCGACACTCTCACCCTGACCATGTTCGCCAATGACCGTCATCTTGCCATTTGCGCCTTCCAGCACAGACCTCAGACGGCCATTCAGAACAAGGTAAATGGCATCACTTTCGTCCCCTTGGTGGTAGATGACCTCTCCTGCGCTGACCTGCACCCACTCAAGCGCGAAATCAATGTGGAGCAGCAAGCGCGGCAGAAGTCTTGTAAGCCGCTTCGCCAGGGTCAGTAGGGCGGTAGGGTGTCTGTCTGCAATTCTCTCGAGCGAAGCACGGGGAAGGAATCCCACATAGACATCAGTCTTGGCTACAACGTCCGTGTAGGAGCGGTATGATGCAAGAGCACCAACATATCCCTGTATACCACCAGGCTTAATCAGGTACAGCGATTTCCGAGACTGTCCCTTCCGTCGAGGGTCATTGCCGCCTGTTGCACCAGAGGCTCGCGACGATCCTGTGGTAGTGTGTCTCAAGTTGGGGAACAGCTCTTCTTGCGCCTGGGAGGCATATCCGTGGGAGGTGCCAATCAGGACATCATCGCGCTCGTCCATGGGAATACCCACATCCAAGAAACCGTCGATCACATAGTAGAGACCAGGGTGACGCTCACCCTGTTCTACCAGAACTGAGCCTTGTGGGAAATAGACCACCTCGATATCGTGGCGAAGCTCCTCCCGAAGGTTGATGACAGGTGAAGTTCCTCCCGCGCTTGTAACTGACATGGACATCATGGATTCGCTTTCGCCGTCTCCAGACGCTTCATATGGATCAATAAAGCCAAATGCATTGGAGAACACAGCCTTCTGGCGACGAGAGTCATAGGAAAGAAGTCTCGGCGACGCATCACCGGAGTGAGTACCCTTGCGCATGGTATCGCGCGTACTTTCCGTCAGTCCAATGCCCTTCATGATGCAATCCAAAATCGATTCACGGAACAAACCGTCTTCGTCAATTGAGTCTTTGCGTTGGAACGTCGAAGGCCGCATAGGACCAGGGAGGAATTGGGGCTGCTCTCTCTCGGTGAGAGGGGTTTGGATGCGTTGTGCCAGATGGTCATATCGCGGTCCGAACCGAGAAAGTTGAATGGTCGATAAAAGATCTCCAGGACTCACACCCGCGGAGTCCCTGTCGGAAAATGCCGGTGGGGATCTTATTGGCGTTAGAGACGCAATAGGGCGTTCACTGGAGACCTTGGCTTGCAAGACGGCCTCCTTTCTGAGAGTACTGCTTGAGAGTCTGCGGCCAACATATGGATTGTGGAGAGCGATTCCTTTGCCGACTTCCTCGGGCCCCAACCTATCCCGCTCTCTAGTGAATTTATCCTTCAAACGATCCAGGGCGCTTCCTCGGAGGTTATTGGGGAGGTCCCAAGTGGTAAATTTGCCCATTTGACGTTCAATGTCCAGGACATCAGTGGTCAGTCCGAGGTATGAATGTGCTGTAGCAAACGTGACCCGCTGGAGACGGGTCAAAATAACCTGGACAATGTGCGATGTCGCCCGTGGGTAAACTCGTGTGAGCCGGCGGAATGCGCTCGCGGGGATGATAGCGATGGTTGTGTCCACCGTGGCCCGGGCCACAATGTCTGGATGGACCGACTTGCGGTGCTTCCTCTTGGCCTTGTGCTCTTGCTTTGGGCCTTGGTCGGGGATCTGCTTAGGCATGGCACGACTTTCTCCGAGATTCAGCGGAGGCACCGGTGGTAGCGTATCAATCGGACCTTGGATTGGAGACGTCACATCCCCGTTGCCTCGCACTGTAGACCTGGGGCTTTCGACAATCCCAGTGGTAGGGCTGAAAGGGAAGGCATCAGGAACAGGGGTGTTGCCTCGGGTAGGGGTCGATACCATAGAGTTATGGCTTTGCGAGTTGCGGAGCTCGATATCTTCGGTAAACAGCTGGAGAATGGAGAACAGTGACGACATAGACGCGCCGTTCTTGACCTCTGTGAGGAGCTGGTAACCCTGTCGGCCATGGACATGGTGATCCTCCTCGTCCGACGTCATGTCGTCCATATACAGGTTCTCTTGCGAACCGGGCTTTGCTGGTCGCGTTGATTTCACGAAGATCTGAACCAGTCCATCCACAACCAGGCAGAATCCCTTCTCTTCTTCCAGCATGAGTGTCTCTCCCGCGATTAGCTTCCTTGTCTGCATCGTCCGGGTCAGCTCGTGGAACACGGGTCGCTCGAGGTATCCGAAGACTTTGATAGCGCTGAGGAATTCATCAAGGTAATTCGCAAGACCGGGTTTAGAGTCGCCTTCTTGGATATCGGGGAACAAGTCGATTTCGGGTTCTTTGCGCTGGGGCTCTGGCGGCAGGCGGCTGTACATGTTCAGGAACCGATAGCGAATGAACCAGCTGACGGTCGATACCAGGGCGAGCACTATCAACATTCTAGGGGTCATGGTCAGCTTTTCGTCTCAAGGGGTCAAGCCTAGGTATAGACTTACAGGGTGGTAAAGTTCATGGTGAACGTCAGGCTCATGGAAAAGAGCGTAAAGAGCCATGTGGGCAGCGTGATGGTTGAAAAGGTAATAACCCAGTACAATACA